TGCAGAATACGTTTTTGCGGTCGTCAAACCTCTGCGCGGTCGTTTCGAGACTCGTACGGCGTCCTTCGACGTCGCGAACGCCATTACTTGGCGCTGTGGTCACGTGATCGCTCGCACCAGCCAATGGGAATGAGGTGCCACCTGCGAGGAAGTCCTTTTTCGGTGATGACACGATATATTGTTTTCTGGGTCGACTCGGTTTTTGCGCCTTAGAAGGCTCCCGAAGGAAAAACGTATGTCACATAAAAAAAAATATGATGGGTCGTTATTCTTGTGGATTAGAGCTAGCATTAGAGTAGGCGCAATGCTGCGTACGCTTATCTTAATGCCAGTATTCTACGTTTCGTTCATATACAATATTTGCCGTTTTCAGTCAGTTTGTATATTCTTGTCGAAGAAGAAAGATGCGCCCTGTTGGTTCGTTCCCCCCTGCCGCTAATGACTTCATATAGAGTATACTTAGCAGAAGTGCCCGCGGGTGCGCGGCCCCGATGTCCGCTCTATCCTGGCATTCTCTCGCCTTACGTGAGCCGTTAGCCGAGTCATGAAGCTATAAAACTGGATGTGCTTTTTCGTGCTTTTTTTTAACCGCCGCTAGTTCTACGTTTTTTTATTCTACCGTTTTTATGGACGTGCACTTTGCGCAACTGGGGCCCGCTGCCTCCATCACGCGGTGCCGTAATGATGGCCGAGTTTTTATATTGTATCGTCGCATTGTTTGGGGGGGTCTATGCGCGCGCACGGCCCCGCAGTTCGCACCTCGCCAGTCGGGTCGTCGTCTCGGTTTCAAAGAGAGACATCTTCATAGAGGGCGCTACGGCTGTTACTTGTTGCGGGGAGGGAGGTGTCGCTTCTCCAGGTGTCTGCTTTGTCCGGCCCCTGGACAAACGATCTCTCTGCGAGGGCGAGGGCACCCCCCGAAATGGGCGACTGCTTGGGGGACCGTCCGTTCGGTTATGGTTTCTGGAACGCGTCTCCAAGTTGGTATGTTTACCGCGCCCTAAAAAGTGCTCCCTCGATTTCCGCCCGATGATGACGTCATAGAAGTGTCACGGTGTCGAAGGCCGCGATCCCGGCGGTGTCACAACAGCGTTGGTTGATGTGGCGGACGCCTGTTCTGCTGCAGCAGGTCGCTCTCCTGTGTGACAGACTACGGAAGCTCCAGCAGCCAGCAGTTGAGACTCCGCGACGACGGCGCGGCACCCTCGTTCGCTCGTACTTCTTGCAGGGGCTTCTAGCACTAACCGTCGGGATTGCGACATGAAAGGCCGGCTTTTGTGACGTCATTTGGTGCCGCTTCGGGACCTAAACACGCCAGTCGAAGCCTTTGCAAAAAGAACTCTCTGGCCGCCGCCATTTTGCAACTCGAGCGACCCCTATCAGCCAGAAAGTTCTGCCACCCTCCTGAGCTGTGGAAACCCGGTCAGCGCGGCTCCCCAGCTGCATTGTACATTCGGAACTCGCCGGCTTTTCTTGAAAGTTCTTACTTTATTCGCCTGTTCAGGATGCTTCCCCCTTTCTGTGTTATCTTCTACTGTGAGAGCCAGGGAATACCGCCGGTACTCCTATACACGTTTGCAAGTCCGGCTTCAGGGCGCTGCCATCTTGCCTGTCTGGGGTGCGCTTGGACCAGTCATAATCCGATTACGAAGCCTTGCTAAGGCGTCGTAATCGGATTATGGCCGCTCCCGAGAGCGCACCCCACTGAGGAAGATGGCGGCGCCCTGAGACCGGACTTGCAAACGTGTATAGCCTGGCTTGGGCTTTGCAGGAAACGAACGAAGAGAGCGAACGTCAAGCAGCCGGCGACGCGTGCCGTTCGGCCTTTTTCGAGGATTATTTCCTTTGAGAGAATCTCTGAAAAGATTTCCCGGCTATGTTCCCGGTCTTCGCGAGAAGTAGCTTGTGGGTCCGGGGTACGGGGCTGGAATAGATACGTTCGTTCATTTGCTTTTGGTGTTGTACTGCGCAAAAAGGGAGCTCTCTTCCAAACGTGCCCCAAAACAAGCCGGATTCAATTCGATCGTTGTGAAATGACTGTCGTCGGCACTGGGTATTGGATAAGCTGTGTTATTTGAGTCCTTTCTCAAACCCTGTTCGGATAACACGGCACCGTGGGGTACGGACAACATATATATGTTGTTCGATAGATGAGACTCGTTGAATTTCATGTTGTGAGCGGGTAATATTCATGCAGTTCGGCTTTTCTGTGTGTTCAAATATTTTCGACGGTTCAAACCTTTGCAGATTGACACGGCTGTGTGAATGGTACCTTAAAAATATCAATATAAAATGAGACAAGCGTTCCATTTGTTCTGTCGCGCACAGACTCACCAAAAATAGTTTTCATTTGTTTGTTTTTAGTCGCAAATATAGTAGAACGCTTAAAAGAAAACCTCGAGAAATTGTATTCGCCATAGAACACGAAATAAAAAATAAAACGAAATTTAGCCGCCACCAACTTCCGTGAAAAGACGGTGAGTGTGCAGGCGAGCTGGTGGTAGCTAATCATGTCGTATTACACCTGAGACTGCGGTGGAAGAAATCGGAAGAACTTTCAGTAGAAGGAACAGACACAGAGACGTTGAGACGTTGAGACGTTCTCTGTGTCTGTTCCTTCTACTGAAAGTTCTTCCGATTTCTTCCACCGCAGTCTCAGGTGTAATACGACATGATTACCAACTTCCGGTTGCGCCTACGCAAGCTGCCACAGTCCACTGAAGAGAAAGCCCACAGCCCAGCGCAGTTGGGCAACACTGACGTACTCTCTCAAAACCAGGGGCGCTGTAAATCGCTTCGTTCTAGAGTGCCTTCATACACACGCGCGCTTTTGCTTGAGTGGTGACATCTCAGCCATTTTTCCGCCCAATCGTTTTTTTATGCAGTTTGAAGTGCGCGCAATCCGGTGTCACTCAGCTCGAGCGCGTAGCTCTGGCTGATGCATAGACGCCATCTTACCGCCCAAGTCACGCACCGAGTGCGCGAGAGCGTCACGCGCTGGCACATTCCGGACAACAATGGATGTCTTCACCCTGAGACAGACAGACATCTAGGCACCCTACTTCGTTCGAGGCTGCCGCTGGAAAGGTGCGCATCACGTGACCTTCCGGTTGGACCATTTGAATGGAGCGACGCGCGGAGCGGGAAGTCACGTGAGAATCACGGTTAACGGGAGCATGCGCTAAGGCTAGTCATGACCGCACGACGCACGTGCGTTTTATGCAGGCAGTGTTGGCCGTTGTTTACAGCCTGATCTGTCCACACGTCCCCCCCCCCCCCCCCCCCCCCTGGAAATTCCAACATCCGCCCCTGGTTCCATTAGCCGCGTGCGTCTGTGCACGTCTTGGCTGCACAATGAAAACCTTAGTGTTCGCGAAATCCTAATTTTTGCGAATTTCGCGAATTGTAGTATTCGCGAACGCGTATAGTTGTTTTGTCTGTAGAGGCAAATTCCAGAGTTTAGAAATCGCGAAATTTGGTGGTTGCCAAAGATCAGCGCTGCGAAAATAAAAGGTTTTACAGTGTACTATACTTAGCCACAGTACTTTCCCATCACTACAACCTCTGAAACGATAGGCTTCTTGGTAAATCTGTGAATGATGCAATCTACTTGGAACGTTTAGCACATGGTGGTAAACGAAAATATTGTCCTGTGCATTTCTCTACTATTGTATTTCTTTGTTTTTCCTTACTACAAATGAATAGCGGGGGGCAATCTGAGCTATATGTACCGGTTCCTATAGTTTACCCTTTGTGAGAACACCTGGTTTCCGCAGATTTGTTCACAACAATCTGCTCGGATTTTTGATTTTTTTTTTATGTTTGATAGATTTGACCCAACATATGAGCATTTTTTGCCAGAAATAACAAGTGGTTGTGGAGGAAGCACGTTTCTGAGAGCTCTGTGTTTTACCCTGCGGGCACAATTAGTGGCTGCTATTTGTGGGAAGTCATTTTGCATCCAGCAAGATGCTTCCCAGCTGTTCTGGACTAATTTCTTCTTCGTTCTCAGCCTATTTCGGCCATTAAATAAATGACAAGAAGTAAGCACTTTCGTGTATTACGTATCGGCTGGGGCTCCTGCATAGTATTTTTTTTTTTTTTTTTTACAAGTTGCATGGGAGCTTGAGAAGTCGTTTTTTTATGTTATATATTCCTTTCTATCTTGAAAGCTGGTAATTGTGCCCAGAGTTTTGTTTTATTTGTGCACATCATGCACGCCAAAAATGCCTCGGTTTTATCACGTTTGCTAACGTGCAAAGCCAAAAATATGAGTACACACATTTTTTGTTTCTTTTGCGTTTAGAAGTTTAATGACATTTCGTAATTTCACACGTGGTAAAGACGAATATGAGTGACGCAAATATAAATTTAGGAAGGTGACAACAAAATCATGGTAACAAAGTAATACATACAGTAACTGTGCTGCCCAGAGGGCGCTGCAAGCGCGGGGCCAGTGGCCATGCAAAACCTCGCGCGCACGGCACTTTGAGTTGTACTCGGCACAAGTGGTGCCGGAGAGCGGGCAGTCGAATAAGGGTCTTCAAATATGCAACATTAACAAAATAAAAAAGGTGAAGAAATAAAACTGAAGAGATCCTACTAATGATGAGAAGCCCAAAGGAAGTAAATGCACCAAATAAAAATGATGAAAATAAAACAATTTAAACACGCAAGCTTAAATATTAGCAGTCAGCATTAAACTTAAAAATACCCTTCTACATATCATATCGTTAATTGATTGGATGATGGTACCTTTCACAACCTACCGTCGTCCAATCACTCGCATGAGTATTGTGACTCTGGTTGCATTGTTACTGCCAAGACAAGCATTGTCCTGAAAAGTGTCGTCGTGACGTAAATAACTTGTTCCTTCTTTGAGAGATACGAGATAACTGTTACAACACGCAGCTAAAAACTTTTTTTTTTTTTTCTGTTTTGAATTTTGTGTTTGTTTTTGTATCCGATCATTTCTCTGATCAAGTGTCTGCGTCTTGCAGAGGACATGTTAAACCACGGGGACGAGATGTCCCTACAAGAGCGGGTCTCGGACCTGGAGAAGAAGATCCTGGAGCAGACGGACGAGATCACCTGCCTCCGGAGCACCATCGCGGATCTCGCGCGGAGGATGAACCAGCTCGAGGGCAGGGGTGAGTCTAGCCTGCGTTGCCTTCTTGAATTCGGTCGGTGTACGAGCTTCGATTGCCGTTAGTTAGTTCTCATACGCAAATAGTGAATTTCGTGTTTGAAGCGATTAGTGGTTTTGACCGAATATTTTTTAATCGAATATCAAATAGTTTCTTCGAGACTTTCACTACTGCATCATGCTTACAGGGGTACCACGGTGATATTTTTAGCTACTCCAAGTAACTAGATTATACGAATCCTAGACCCCTTTACGGCATGCTATTAAATTTGGCGAAGATCGGAATAGTTTCTGTGAAATCTGCAAAACGATGCCAAAACGATAATTCAAGTATACCCAGGCTTTTTATTGCCTTGACGTAACTGGCAGGCTAGGCTTGCAGGTCGAACGAGCAGTTTAGAAAACAAAGTTTCCGCGCATTTGTTTCGTGCTACTGCGCTGGCGCTGGAGCGAGCTTTCGAAGCAATCATTTGACTCGCTGAAACTTCTTGGAATCAGACACAACGAACGAAAAAGTTCCCCCAGTAGCTAAGTGGAAAGGTGTCCGCTTCACACGCAGCGAACTTAGGTTCAAACCACAGTGTAAACGTACTTTCTTTTTCTACCATTTTGCGATATTTACATATTTTTTTACAATTATCGCTGAAAAAAAACAACAAAAAAACTAACGAAGGTTGTGGACGAAACGTCGCTGGACTAAATGGTATGGGACTCCCTTTTTGACACCTGCGAACTCAATGTAATCACTTTCCACAAACTGCAAGGGGCATGTGAATCGGGTAGCGTCCGCTTTCCGAGGTGCCCGTAACGGTTCTGCAGTAATTGTGGCCAGCCATGGGTGATCCCGTTGATCTTTCGGAAACGCGTGCAAACTCTGCAGCACAATGCTATTTTCGAATGCACAAGCTATGAGGCAGCTCTTCACGCAACATCTTGGGGGCATTCTTTTCGGAGCCGATCACTGGCATTCGCTACTCATTTCCGGCTCTTTAATGTAAAAAAGCGGAACAAACATAACTGCAAAGCAATTGCACGGCTAACGGTTCCCGCAACGCATGTCATCTGCTGCACGCGGGAAAAAAAAAAAAAGAAAAAAAAGAAAAAAAAACGGAAAAAGGGGGGGGGGGGGGATAAAAAAAAGCGCATGGTTGGGTGTAGCTACGTGACTTCCTGCACTCTCTCCCCTATATTTCTCCGATCTCCGTGCGCAGGTTCGGTTTCGAGCAGGTTTTTTTTTTCTGTAGCAAAATATTCATTGGGTAGTCTTCTGAAACCATACTAAAATGCCTGGCAAAAAGTAAAAAAAAAAAAAAAAATTGGGGTGGTGTTACTGTCCCTTTAAATATACCAGGCGCACGTGTGCCATCACTCTTTGACTTTGTTTTTCTCCTAAGCATGAGACTGCAATATTTCTACTTTTCTAAGGGATTGCAGTGGGCTAGCCCAGTAAAGTGCGCTGCTTAGCGAGCACCGGTGCACTGCGGAGAAGCTACATCCGCGGAAGCGAGCTCGGCGGGTGTTGCTTCTCCGCAGTGCACTGGTGCTTGGTAGGAAGCACGCTTAACGGGGCTAACTAGCCGCGACCAATACTTAGAAAAATATGAATATGGCTATAAATCTCGAAGCGAATAGCGAATAACGTAATATTCGGAAGTACTATCCGAAAATTGGAATATTTGCACAATCCTGCTGTCAGACTCTATACTACTAGCAGGGGTGGAACGGCTGCGCCATTTGCGCCATTTTGCGCCAGACGCATATGTCTGCGCCATCCTGCGCCATGTTGCAGAAACTGCGCCACAGCCAATACCTCGCGCCATTATGCGCCAGATCGCAAAACGTGCGCCAAGAAACTTTTTATTTTGTCTTGGTTTCGGTTTTATTGACTCGATTGGCAACAATGAGCGCGTTCAGCCTGGTCGGCCTTGCAATCCTTTGTTCTGTTTATTCTCCCTGTGTATCCCGAGTCGGAAGCGCGCGAAAAAACTCGGATTCTAAGCGCCACGCCACCTGCGACTGGATTGTTATTCTTCAACCATAAGCGGTTAAGCAAGTCGGCTGAGGTGAGGTCGAGTCGTTAAGCGTCAGATTGCCTGAGGCTCTGCGGCCCGGGATCCGGACGTCAGCCAGTTGAAAACAAATGAGCAAGATATTCCTTTTAGTACTTCGTCGTTAGAAGTTGGAACCGCATTCTCGCAAGATAAATCGTGATTTGATTGAACTGAAACGCGGTCCGATCCGAAACCTTTCCGGCCAGCAGCTCTTTTGCGAGTGATAGATCTGCTCGGTGTACTTTAACCTTGCTCCTGCTTATCGTTTCAAATACGATAACTTCGTTAATCGTAGTCTGCTGCTTCGTAATCGAGTTGCACAATAGGATAAACGCAAAATTTGTTGCCCTGTTCCTCCGTGCAACTGCACGTCCATTGCTTGCGCACGTCACGGGGTTCGCACATATAATTACTATGTCAAACACGTGTGGGTTGTGCGATAAGCAGTGCTGGTGTGCATTTTGAGCAGCTGAAAGCCGCTCGGAAAATATCAAGGACGCTATCTTGAGAAACAGGGTACTGGCTTTTTGATTCTCATTAAGGCTCACAAAGTTTCAAGTTTTCGCATCTGTTACACTGTTATTCCATCTACCTAGGTCCCTAACCATTCATGTTCATCTGTTCTGCTAAGTACGATTGAAATTGCTCCCATGCTTGTCTAAGACGCAAGCTGAAGTGCAATGAAAACTGATCTGAGCTGCTCCTAGCCTGCTCCAGAACGTAGTTTTAGCTGCTCCCAACCTGCTCCAAAACAGCTGTTTCAGCTGCTCCCGTGGCTGCTCCCAGGTACATTTCATGAGTTCCACCCCTGTACTAGCCACGAGTGTCACTCATGCTGTCCATTACGAACCAGAAAGCTTGAACATGAGTCTGGCTCGTGTTTCAGTTTCAGAGCTTGTTTTGAGTGTTGTCTGGCAGATGGCAGCACTATCACTATTTTGCTCTCCCCCCCCCCCCCCCCCCCCCCTCCTCCTCTTCTGGGTATTTTGTCATCTGCTTCAAGTTTGAACTGAGATTGGGCTCTCTTGTGCCAAGAAACATTGGGCACCAGCAAGCACGGGGAAAGGCAACTTTATCTCAATGCAGAGATCCACTTTAGCTTATGAAGAAAATACAAAGTTCTTAATTGGAAGTGATGAGTGCTTTTTCATATCCAATGACAAGTGATACCCTGTGTCAGCGGCTTGGAAACTTAATTTGAACTCGGTAGTTTGTACAAAAATAAAGAAAACATTCACATGATCCTTAGGTATTGTTTGTTGCCTTCTACCTTCCTCAATGTTTCCAACAGTACCACTGGGTGAGGAGTCTCTGGACACATCGGATAGCCAAGAATTCTTAACAGGAGGCACAAACAACATCCTGAGGCCAAGTGAATGTTTAAATTTTCGTGTTAGATTTTATGGGGTTTTTGTTTTTTATTATTGGAAGATAGTTTTCTGGGTGTGTTTTGTGAAAAGGAAGAAAATTAGTATGCAATCAGATAAAGATAACTAGAGACAGAAGCACTTTATGTCATCTTTTTACTAGCTTTGCAAGTTGTTAAAAATCACAATGACGACAAATAGAACACTGTTTGGTGCCTTTCATGTTTTGTGTCATCTATTGTCTCGTCGTCGTGGCACTGATTTTTAAGCACTTTCGTGGACTTTGGTGTTGAGGATGGGGAGATTTAGAGGAACGTACTTGTAGATAATTAAGCTTTGAAAAAACGGCACAGTTCGGTTATATGTGTTGAAATTCAGGGAGTCTAGGTAATAGTCATGTATGACACTATGTAGTTCCCTGTGCTATTTATGCTACCTGCTAGTTGCTTCTGGCTCTGGTTGCATTGTTACTGCCTTTTCTGACGCTCACTACTCAATTGCCCACATGCTGCCGTGGTGGATATAGACGGTAAGTTGTCTCCCATTTTTCGAGATTTGTGTTCTTTGAGGTGCCTATGAGTGCCCAAGCCTCAAGGTGAAACATTAGTGTGTATAGGCTGATTGAGCAGTGGTACACACTGTTTAACAGAATGTTCGCATTCTTTGCAACTTTTTCTTCACTTTTTTAATGATTTACTTTTAGCATCTGAGCAGTCACATGTGGCTGAAACATATGTGAAATTATCACTTTAGGAATGAACAATGCTGAGACAGGTGGAAACACTGTTGTAGAAGGCAAGTGCTCACGTAACAAAAAGTTGTCTGTTAGGAAAACTTACGGGTGTCACCATGAACTTTCTGTGAGACTTTTTGCCGAGTAATAGGGTGGGGGGACACAGGTTAACTCCTTACTGGAACTTCCAGCTAAGTTTGGATAGTATTTAACAGCTAATTGTTACCACCCAATTGTAGTACTGGGTGCTTGGGAGAAAAGAGAACCATGTTTTCTTTATCACAAAAGTTTACTATGCTTCACCGAATGCTCACTCTTTGCCCAAGTGTAGCGCTAGTGGTTGGGACCAAATGCTAAAATTTTACAACTTACCGTTGTCCAATTAAAAATTTACAAGCAATTTTTGAAGACGTTCAGTTGGGGAATGAGGCTTGTTTCCGGTAGCAGATGCTATTCATCTCTGTGTTGGCAAACTTTGTTAGCCTCCTTTTCCTCGTCAATAAAATTTTAAGAAAATGCTCGTAATTTTTTAATTCAATAACGGTAAGTGCAGAACTCTGGCATGTGGTGCCACGCACTTGCGGCACATTGGGGCGGCGACTGGGTGGTCGAAAATGGAGTTGATTTTTGCGGTGAGGGAAACGGAGTTTACTTCTCTCTCCAATGTCCAGCATGATCGCTCTTTTATATAGTATTCATTACTAGCTTATTAGCCAAAAAGTTAAATTGACACCTTCTTTTTACGTCGTTCATAGTTGTGGCAAAACCTTGATGCCCACTTTAATTTGGTTATTTTGAATCTTAATTGGAACAGCTGTTTTCCCCCAAAAAATGTGAGTCAATAAAGTTGAAGTGTATATCGCCGGTGCTCACTTTGTAAATGTTAGGTCTTTGTATGCTTCAAATTGAGCTGGAATCACGTTACGATTTTCTTTCATTGTATTCATTTGTTTCTTACGAGTGAATTTCTGTAAATATTTTTTTTACTGTATGGTACAAGCAGTAACCTTGCTGCATTTGTCTAAGTATACTTTTGTCTAAATCGATAACTTCGATGCAATAACGTATCTTATCCCATTCCATAACGGCTTTCGAGCGAGGGCCAATGCCATTAACAGATAAATAAAAAAAAAAAAAGAAGTTTCTCCTCAACAGCCGGCTCAGCGTTCCGCTCTCTCGTTCCTTGCAGCCCCAGTGATCACCAACTCCAACAGCCACGGCACGACACCGACCAAGGCGGGCCTGCCATCGCTGCCTCAGCACCCGCAGCCACAGCAGCGCCACTCGCTGCACCGGCAGACGAGCAACAGCTCGTCGTCCTCGCACGTGGACGGGGTGCCGCCCCACAACGGCCACCACCACCAGCCCCCGTCGCCACATTCGGCGCCCTCTCGCAGGCTCAGCTACTTCCCCACTGCCTCCACGACCTCCCTCCACAGGTCGGTTGGCGCCGAGGGGTTTGGCAATTCTCGTAGGGGAAGTGGCTCATCCTCTCCGGTGGTGTACGAAACCGCAAAATAAGCACCCAATATCATCTTTCCCTTGGGCGCTCTTTGAACTCCGAAGGGGAGCTCCGGTGGACTTTTTTTTTTAGATAACTACTTTGGTTTACTCTCCCCAGCGTGCCGTTTATTATCGCTGTATTCAAAATGGCCATCGAGAAAACGGCAGACGATGGTGATGCCACAAAATATCGTTGAAATTTTTCAATGCTCTTGCGAGTCGACAGGACTGTGTAAAAAAAAACTTAGTATGTTCCGCACTGTTATTTTTGTTTTGCTGGCCCGAGTTTTCCCAGCTTTCCTTTCACACAATCAAACTTTTTGTGACTTGCCGGGAACCAGCTGTACTCCCACCATATCGCGACATTTGACATTGCAATTTCAGTGTTGCTGCTAGACTTTCTCGGACCGAACATTAAAATTTAAAAACTTTGCAAAAAAAAAAAAATTAGTATTGTGATTTGTATTTTGGTTTACTACAGTTAAGATGTGTTTACTAATGTGTCGAACCAATGTTGAGACAAATCGGCGACTAGTATCAAAATTTCGCCGGAGCTCCCCTTTAAAGAACCCTTAAAAAGAAAAAAAAAAATGTTTTTTTTTTTAAACAATTTAGTTGGGACGCGCGTGTCAAAAATTAAATTTTACGTGCAAAAAAAAAAAAAAAAAAAATTTAGGGTAATATTGACGGCGAGAGATTTATTTGAAATTCTGCGCTCAATGTTCATGACATCACTGGTCATTCCGGAATGACCATCTCAATCATGAAGGCCAGGCCGATCCACCTCTCCTCCACGCGTCCGAAGTGCCGAAAGAGAAAACAAGTGTAAAGGAGGTGGCTGCCAACTAAATCGCGTCTCACGCCTTCAATATTGCTCTAAAAAATTTTTTTTCGCGTAAAATTAATTTTTTGACACGCGTGTCTCAACCAGGCTGTTAAAAATAAAACATTTCTCTTTTTTTTAGGGGCCCTTTAAGCAACTCCTCATCCTGCAAAGCTGCAAAAGCTAACCTCGACAGAATCTTATCGCTCAAAATGCTCGTAAACCTTTCGTTAGCGTGAATGGCCGTATCGCTGGTACATTTGCTCGTAATAGCCTCGGTGGGCGCTCGTACGCAGGCACTGAAAGATTTACCGGACACTTTTTCTTTCTTAGTCTCGTACCACCAACACCGATACCACTCATGGGCCGTGGCATAAATTGTAACGACAAACTTCATACTCTTAACAACATTTCGCAGAAGCCCTATCGGAGTTTGATCGGAGTTTCCTCCGAGTTTCGTCTACGTCTCGTTGAAGCTTGGTAGGCATTTTAATCTGGTGTTTCCTTAAACCCGTCGCTTCTAATATAAGTGTTTTCCACGTTTGTACGAGCGAAACTGATCTCCATTGTTACTTGCGTTGCTCCGCAGCGAGGGTGGCCAGAGCTCCACGTCTGCGTCTCCCGTGCCGTCTCCGGCGCCTTCGTCCTACCGCAGTTCGCCGTCCCCGCGACAGACGCCGTCGCCCAACCGCCACATCTCGGCTTCTACGTCCAACTTGGCCGCCATGAAACGGTGGTCAAGCTGCAGTAGCCAAGATTTCACCGCAGCTAACAGGTGAGCGCCCCCCGCCGGGCGGAGGCGTTGGACCGAGCCAGAGCTTGCATGCCATTGCCGCAGGTCGAAGACGGAGCCAATGAAACGAGCTCTGCCTAGAGTATTGCCACACTCTTACCCAATTTTTCTGTTGCTGCTTCCAGTTTCGGGCTTTGTGCAGAGTGGATCATTGCGCTTAGAAGATGTGTCTTCTCAAACTTCATATACAGTGTGTCCTAAAACAAAATAGTGTTTTTTTTTTCGCCGCGCAAAGAAGCTACACATTGCCGAGTGCTAATTCTCCATTGAAATGTAGCCACCAGCGGTCCAAACCAGAGGTTAAAGTTTCAGGAGCGTCTGTCATCTCGTTCAAAAGTTACGAGCCATTTTATGAAAATTTTAGTGGGAAAATGGGGTTCGTTTTTGCCCGTTTTCGGCTGCTTGTGCCATTCAGCTTTGCTTGTTTGAGAGATCCGTCGGTTTTCATTTTTCCATTGAAAATTTTCCGAAAATATCTTCCAACTTTTGAATGAAGATAACGGCTGGTAGTTCTGAAACTTTGGCATCTGGATTGGGTTGCTAGTGCCGCCTTTGGGCGGAGAACGAGCGTTCGGCGACGCATGCGTTTATTTTTGCAGTGAAAAAACCTTCTATGGCGTCAGGCATCAGAGCCGTATACCATATGTAGAGAATTTGGCCATTCGTTGGGAAGTATAGGAGACAAATGAGGAGGCGCCATTGGCCGAAAGCGGGCTGGGCGTGTTCCAGGGCGTCTTCAGAAATTCGAATGTGACCAACCAGAAGCCGGAAATAATACCCTGGCGGTGGTCGCGAGAAACAAACCTGATAACTGCATTGGTGTAACTCTCGGTGACTGAAAATATGGTACACGTGATGTTTCAATCACGCTCATCCAAAACGATGGTGGAAGAGGGCGACTAGTGGAACGACTGACATATCCGTACGCCAAGCGCCGAGGGCCAAGAATCTGCCGTCCGAGCGGTCACACTCTGCCCGAGCAAAACAGAGTTGAGCGGCGCATTCGTTTCTTACATCTTTCTGCATGATCATGATCAAAACAACACGTGCACCCTATTTTCAACCACAAAGAGTTACTCCACTTCACTCTTACGCGCTTATTAAAACCATATACGAACATAGACCTTTGATCAGAACTGTTTCTCGCTACCACCGCTAGGAGATTCTTTTCGGCTTCTGGTTGGTCAAGAGAGCATGCCAAGCCCTCTTTCCGAGTCTGCCGCACGCCCTGGCTCTGCCCGCGCCTCCCATTGACCAAACTTTACATATACGGCTTTGATTAGCATCCATCCCTCCATCCATCCATCCGATGACCGAAGTGTTGCTACTTTGAAGCACAGCTCGTTTAGTGACTCTAGTCAGAGATCTTGCACGAGGTACACTGCGCGGCAACATTAGCACAAACTCGACGTGACGGCTTTTCTGCATTTTACTAGGACAGAGTATTGAAGGGCACTGAACTTTACCGCTTAGGTTACTGCCCCGAGTAAAGACTTACAGCTATTCAAATACAAAAAAGAAAGAAATCTAACTATTGTTTATTCGTGCTAACAGTGTCGCGCTGTGAACAGCACCTACATTCCTGCTTGTCACACGGTCTCTTTTAGGCTACAGTCTTGTGAGAATATATGTGCTTGGTCACTATATTTTTTGTTTAAATTTATAGACGCCGAGTTTGACTAGTGCCCCAGGAAACTTTTGGACCAACCCTAATCTTTAAAAACAATAATGAAGTTGTGTTTTTTTTTACAATCCACAATTTGTTTTTCTTTTATACTCCGGGAAAGTGCATATGGTTCGGAGTCGCATACCCAACTGTTTTGACAAAAGAAATTTAAGATCTGGTGACTTTTTTTGGTTGATCCCCAAAATGACAAGATTGGTTGTTTGGCACCCTCTACTGTTTGTAGAATATGCAGGCATACTCATTATCACGGCTTTTGACAAAGTACCTAGAAGAGGTCGAACAGAATTATTTGACATAAAAACTGCATTTTCTTGAAACTGCATTAAACGGGGAGAAAAATGGACTTAGATTTGTGTGTGCCCCCCAAATTAGTGAGAATTTTATCTAAATCAGATCAGAGTTAAGACAAAAATTTTCTAAGAGTAGAGTCTTCTCTTATGTTTTAAGGATGTTAAATCATCTGCCAGTTTTTCTTGGTCCCTGCTTTAAAAACCTTAATTTGAAAACCGCTCGGACAATCAGTTGTTTTCTTGGCGATGTGTTATTTTTGGGTGATTGTAATCATTTACATTTTGCTGCCGCTTTCTTTACTGGCATTTACAGAATTTTATGTGATCCTCTCTTCTGTAAGCAAAAGTAGCACTTGTAGGTTTCCACCGAGGCTATGCTATATCTTCCTTTGTAGTTCAATGCTGAGTGAGTTTACAAATTTTTCACAAGGTTTTGATGAAAATCCTTGTGTGCTTTATACCCGCAGAAAAAAATACTTTGGTATTATATCTGAAAACTCTTTTATTGCAATGCATTCATTAACCTCACTGTTCTGTTTTGCACAGCTCATTGCTCTAACAGCAAACCTGCATCATTACAAGCCTTTGCATCTAAGCAATTGCTGTGAACTCCTTTGAATAAAACAGTTGCTCTGTTATCAGTTGTTGGCACCTGGTTTAACGCCTGTTTTGGTCCTATGAGCAAAGAGCGAAGATTTTAAATATTGTAACGTAGGCTGGCCTTTAAGCTTGATCACGCTTTCATGTCGCCCTCGCAATCACACATGGCTGAATTTTCGCTTCAGTTTGCAGCAAAACTTGGTTTGAGCAAGCACACAAGTTCACATTATCTATTTCCTGCTTGCTCTCTGCTAACACTGCCATCTTTGCACGTTGGGTGGTAGCCTGCACTGTCTGAATGCATCTTATCTGCGTACAAGGTGCATGCAGCTGTCGTAATCGGCTTTAACACTTTTGAGAGCCAAATGGGCTTCCCATTTCTTGGTTACAGTTTTTACACGGTAAATTGAAGCTGCAAGCATTTATGTGTGTAGATAGCATTAACTTGTCTATGTCTCACTTGACTACTTTGTCTGTTTCGAGAGGTCCACGAAATTTGTCACTATGAAACATAGTACTTCTTTTGTGTGTTGAAACTAGTCTCAATGGTGAGACATGGACCAGGGCTACACTAACATGCTCCAATATTGCCACATTTTAACATTTTTTAAAAAAATAGGTTTGCCTCTTTTTTTAGATTTTAATGTATCTGTTCTTTTTATCACATTTTATTTTAGAAGTTCTGTTAATTTTAAGAATTTGTGTTGGAATAAATGTCTACTGATATTTTTTTTGTGTCAATGTGGCAAGGCAGTCCCACTTCATACAACCTTTAAATACTGGATTCCTGCTTTTGGTGTTGTGTATCATGGATTGTTTATATTTCCTTGATCTATATTAAAAAAAAATTATATAGTATAATTTGCGTCTCAAAAACCAGCAAAAGGTATACTGCACATAGAATTTATAGTGTGAAATGGGACTGTCAGATTATTGGCCCTATTTGTAAATGACATGTCTCAGTGCATTGATCACCATTCAATTTACGAATAAGGCCAATTGTTTTCACTCCGCTTTAACCTTATGATTTTTAACCGCTTAAAATTGGGACGTTGGCATTGCACCGAAGGTTTGTTTGGTGATCGATGAAAATCCAATTTAAATGTTTTTGTCGTTTGCTTTTATTAGTTCGTTGAAGTAAATGAAGCTAGGAATTAAAAACACGAGTATGCTATCTTGTCATAGGCTAGCGTCACGTTTATACAGTTGAACCTCGATTTAGTGAAGTCACCGGGACCCCCTAATTATTTTGTTAAATCGGGAACTTCGTAAAGTCAAGAAAGACATTCTTCGGGATAGGCTGCGCGGGGAATCCGAATTTGTTCGTTAAATCGGGAAACTCTTAAAATCGGGTTTCGTTAAACTGAGGTTCAACTGTAACTTCTTTTTTTATAAAAACGGCAAAAGTCTACTCAGATTTACAAGTGACATATAGTTTAGGTTTCAGCTTAAGTACAATTTTCCCGCAGGCAAGACATTTTGAGACTGAGTTATATGTAGCAGCTGCTCTCCCAATGCCCCCCTCTGCGTGCGTGTTCAGTAACTGCCGCCTAAAAGCAGTTGAGTGGAATCTCGTTGATTCAAACTCTCTTAATTCGAACTCGCAGATAATTCAAACTAGCACGCATGTCCCGTAGTTAGTGTTCATAGGAAGGAAACTCCCGGTAATTCAAACTTCGCATTATGCAAACAGAGGTCTGGTGCCCATTGGGTTCAAATTAACGAGATTCCACTGTACTCATACCTGATATTAATAATCTAGTAATATCGGTATTAGCAGTTTGCTCTCTGTTGTGCTGTTCCGCTCGCCAAACAAAAGCGGTGCAACACGCCAAGTCAGCATGACGGTTCCCACTTCTTCGGGGTACTGTAGCCCGACGCTGCATTCTCACTCCGTTTCTCGCCGAGTTTGCGACCGGCGCATCTTGCATGGCAGACGAGACGCCGACGAGTTGATTGGCGTGCATTTTGTGTGTCTTTGCGTTACTTTTTTTGCCCATTCTCTGCCTTTCCTCCCTTTGTAGACGCATTGTAAGTGGGTCCTTGTATAATCTGCCCATGCGATCGGCCTCCGGAACACTCTTGAGACACGGGTAAACCAACAACGGCATGCCCTGGGAAAACGAGGAGACGGTCCCTCTCTGCGCCCCGTGCTGGCGACGCCGCCACTCCCGTCGGCTCCAATTCGCTCACCCTTTTTGGGCTGAGTATTTTCAAAAAGTGAGACGCGTGGAATGGGAAGACGTTCGAGGTGTCCGGCAATTGTTAGGCTAAGGAAGAGTTCTGTTTCGGCAAAACTTGAGCCATACTTTGGAGCCGTGCCATATGTCAGGAGGGAATCGGCACTGATACCCAAATCACAATTGGTGCTAATCTTAGTATGTGTATGTGGCATATATAATTTGGACTGCACTGTGGGTATATAACATGCTGTTTTTCGGGAAATTTTAGGTAAAACATTTTTGTTTGGTTTTACGTCGTAGCTAACATTGCGGGTCTATCGTGACAGACATTGAAATTCATGTTGGAATTTGCCATATAGAAGCTCAATCAGAAATTGTATTTCATTTGTGTTGACCTTGCATCAAGATCACGTCAAACCTTGTGTTGAACTTTATAGTGAAGCTGACATGAAAGGTCACATTGGAACGCAAGATTTGTCATTACCGTAATATCCTGGGAGATAGCCCACTTAAAATCAGGAGCAAATTGGGCGAAAATATGGAGTGGGCTAGGCTTTCGGTGTACAGCCGAGAAAAGTTGAAAAAATGCTGGTTTTAGGCCATGCATTCCTTCCAAGCTTGTTATTGTGCTGAGGGGCAACGAAACAAAGATGGCTGTACTTTTCAGTCAGCAATGTCTGCTTTTATCCCGTCATAGCTAACTAGCCACATTACGCCGAAGCCATCGTTGATCCGAACACTACTAGTATTACTAAGAGTGGGCTATCTTTTTGTGTTTAAAAGAAGTCTAGCAAATCAAGCCAAACAAAGGGGTGGACTATATTTTTGGGGTGGGGCATCTCTCGGGATTTTACGGTATATATCTAAATGACTCCTCATAGGAAAGGCCAGCAGTCATTAGATAGGTAAATAATGTATTAAATTATGTGAGCATATTGTAATCATGTTGATTTTAAATTATGCGGTCACCAGCACGGAGTGCAGAGGGACCTTGCATGCATCCTCAGTGGTGGTGGTGGTTTTTGGGTGAATTTTCGTGGTCTTTGGAGTGTTTGTGGGTTTTTCTAGTTTCCTGGGGAATCCTTTGGGTCTTCCATTTCTTCTTGGAAGTGTCTAACCCTTTTCGTGAGGTTTAAGACTTGTCTCATAAAATGATTGACTGGTTGTAAGTTTTACCAGTTATCTGTTAGGCTTTCTGCCTGTGCAGTATGCTGTAGCGTAGATGTTAGTAGTGTTACTTTTAGCTTATCTTCTTATACATCGTATAGTGCTTTGTAATCTGTCAGTGGTGTAGAAAGTTTATTGTATAGTAAAATTTTATCTTCAATGTTTCTTTAGATGAGGAAAGGGAATCCTTGCTAAAAACCAGTTCGAGCAACATGTAAAGAAAAGTTCAGCAATGGGCATAGTAGTTGTGGCTGCCTTTGTTTAGCCTTGCATTTTGCCTGAGTAGCATGGTTTAGTTGATGCATGAGTTGCTTGCACGTACAACATTCATTCATCCTCATAATACCATGACTCTAGCTGATGGTTTAAATGGTACTACAGTACTGCAGTATTATGCTTCCAGTACTATATAATAGTTTATAACAGTGCTAGTTACTGGCAATCCCGATTTGGGTAATAGTAGTTCACCATACAACCAATTAGGACTGCATAGTGTCAGTGCCTTAGTACCATTACCATTGCTAAGGAACCTTGCGAGTCTCCTTGCAACGTCTAACAAGGAAGTGTGTGTGTTTGCTCTTCTTTTTCAGTACAAAGGATGCGCAGCTCAATTCAGGTAATTGCTTCTCTGCTCAATATTGTCAGATAATGATAGTATTCTAGTATAAGTTGGAGAAGAAAAAATTTAGGGCTCATTGTCGGTTTGGTTAGTTTCAGTTTGAGAATTTTTTGGTTGCCTTATGAATCTTTGAGGGCATACGTAGGAGTGCTTAAAGCACATTTTCAGCTAGAGAACATTCTTGTAGGATGAGCAAGCTTGTCCTAAATGCATTTGGATGAATACAGTTTTAAAGTAATAAATGGTAGGCTTTTTCTTTTTTTTTTTAGATATCACAAGATTTGGGACAGGGTTCCAACTTCCAAATTTTAAAATATATTTCTGGATATTTCGAGCAGGAAAAAGAATATAGTCAGAAAGTCTCGTTCAGTCAGATGCTCAAGGAAAAATAGGAATGTCGATTTTAACCTGGTCGATTGAGGTTTGAGATTTTATACATAATGGTTGGCCATTATTAATGGAATTCAATAGCCTCCATGCTATTGTAAGCAGCCATTTCTTCATTCGGGCATCTTTAGTGACTCAGGAAGCCCTGTGGTTTGTCGCAACTTGTATGAATTACAGCGAGTGTCTGTTTTGCTGTTCATCACCGCAGAGGAAGGGACAGTGCGAATGTTTCTGCGAGGTCGTCCCATTGTGATGCACATTCCAAGTGACCAGCTGCACGACTACAGCCTCACCAAGGTGAACAGCGCCCCACATCAGAGGCTCAAGCTGGAGTGGGTGTATCCTTCACCCGTCGGTGACTGCATGCCATGGGGTCACGAGGGGAGGCATCTTTTCTTCTTTTGCAGCAACTGGGGGTGTTGCCTATGAATTCTGATGGTATGCAGGGTGTTCGGTGCCGTCTTCGGCTGCCATGACATTGGGAAAGGGATACTTCCGGTTCTCTCATGTTCACCTAGTGTTTGGGCGGGTGTGCAACGACTTTTTCTTCCCTGGAGAGCGATTGCACGTGAGTTACGCCCCAGGAATGCCCAGTGTCGTGCTTTAAAGTTTCCGATGCGCACTGGCAGAAACAAAATGTCACGAGTGAAGTTCTTTCGATTATCTCGTGACGGGGGACGCCACCGACACCGCCGAGCCTAGGAAATCACAGGACGCATGGCATTGGCAGACGGTGCTAGCCTACTTCGACGTGCTGCCGACACATGGCATAATGCAACAAACGCAAGGATGCGGTGCATCGACCGACCTTCTGTGTGCAATGATAGGTGCCAACCGGGTCACTACGGCACATGTTATAAGTGCAAAGTGACATGGTGCTCTAAGAAAGGAACCGAATACCGAAGCAAGCAAGTCAAAACATTTAAAAATTGCGCATTAGACAGACTCGCATTGCGCCGAAGGAAGCATGATAAAAGCTTTCGGAAGATTTTCTGTTAAATCCAAGACCTGGTTGCTGGTTCCTGCGGGGAAACCTATCGCCGATGCCTTGCCATTCACGAAGTAGTTGAACGCGTTTAAGAACTTGTAGGTTTAAAGTCGTTTTCAGGTATACGGATGAGGCGGCTCGAGTAGGTAGTCGTGAAGATGCGCCCACGATAGCTTTGGCATATTTGTCATTTCTTTAAGCAGCAAGTGCTCCTTCTTTGCACTTAAGGGATCAGGAAAGCATGTCAATCCCGCATAAGTAAATTTCAGGAGGTACTGCTGTAAGTTTACGGTGGTGACACTTCTAAAGTATGCGCTGCTTACTGTGGGTCTTCAAAAACAAACAAAAACAGTAGCCTACCGGAAACAACAAACTCCCCCCGCAAGTTCGGCCATGGTTGCTTTTCTTTACCTCTGCGCACCCTGTATAGCAGAATCTTTCTAAATAGAAAGTTTTGGATAAGTGCCAGAACTTAGCGAATAGTATGTTTACTATGGCCAAGTCTTGCAAGAGGTTTTTTTGTTCTCTCTGGTAAGTAGAAGTTTTCATAAGGTATATTTCTGATAAGGAAATTTTCAATAAAGAAATTTATAGTGATGTGCTAATACTTGAATTTTGAATAGCTTCAAATAATAGGCTATTCGCACTTTTGTTTGCGCAGCGAGTTAGCCCCGTTGAGTGCGCTTCTCGCCGAGCATTTGTGCACTGCGGGGAAGCAATACCTGCAGAGCTCTCGGGCTTCGCGGGTGTCGCTTCCCCGCAGTGCACAGCTGCTTGGTGAGAAGCGCACTCAACAAGTCTAACCAGCCTCGATTATGCAGCTGCAATGTCTTCACAGCCTGCGTTCATCATTCGTGCTTCCTTTTGTTTGTTTTTATTCTTTTGTTTCTTCTTTGCATGCCACGGTTCATATAGTTATGTTAAAATTAATTGATCTTGGAAGCGGACAAGTGGAAGATTGGGAGAAACTTTCACAAGTTCAGCTTAATTTTTGCTTTAGCATGGTGTGCTGTAGTGAAAAGCTTGGAGAAACTGTTTGATAAAATATTTGGTCAAAACCACCCTTCGCTTCAAATTCGCTTCAAACTCAAAATCCACTTCTTGCACATTACTAGAAATATCAGATGAAGAAATCTTCTGATGAGGGGAACTTGTGACAAAGCAAAGTTCTGATAAGATTTATGCTTTTTCTTGGATCCTCAATATTCTATTTGAAGAGATTCTGCCATATCACAGACATTACCACTACACAAGCACGTCAAGACACATTGTAAAAAAAAATATAAAAAAAAAAAGCAAGATGGCAAGAACAGACATGTACAGTTTGTACGCATCTGTTTTCGTCCCTCTGCATTTTGTGCTTTCGTTGTAGCAGAGACAAGTCGTGGTTAGCTTGTGAGGCCGAATGAAGCATTTGGGAATGGTAGTATGGTGAAAATATCAGCATAGTAGCCTGCATTTTATTAACTTTTTTTTTTTGTAAAAAGGTTTTGGTATCAAGTGGTTGTGCCGGTATAAAGCCTCACACTTTGCTACGAGACGCAGGCGTCTGTCGTCACGACCAAGTTTTTTTTCTGTGGCGGTTTTCCCGAGCATGTCTGGCGCACGGTGCTTCCCTGACCTTGTAACCAGATACGGGTACCGGGGCAGGGACTGCCGGGCGAACCTGTTCTTGCTTCCGACGGGCGAGATGGTCTATTTCATCGCTGCCGTGGTGGTCCTCTACAACGTCGAGGACCAAATCCAGAGGCACTACCTGGGACACTCCGACGACATCAAGTGGTACCCGCCTCTCGCCCTCTCTTTTTTTTCCAACGTGTCAAAAGACGTAGGGCCAGATTTTTTTATTTTAATCATATTTTTGTAAAGGAGTAATGCTCTGGATACCCAAAATCACAAGGGATGCGCTGTAAACAATTTTATTTTTGCAGGTTCTTTACAGGGAGAATTTTTTCGCTTTTTCTTGTTGTATCAATCTGCCTACAACTCCTAAGATGTTGCAAATTAAAAAACAAAACAAAAAAAAACCTCCAAGGTACTAAGTTTTACGAGGTCACTTCCAACACATGCTTCTCTATCTTGTCCAAAATTTATTGCGGGGGCCTTTGAAGCTTTTGCTTAGGCATTGCCTCATTTTGTGAGACTTTTTTTTTAATCCCGTTTCTTTCTGTTATTCTTTGGCAAACCCAGAGTACATAAATAAAATTTGAATACGAGTAGGAAAGGGAAGAAGACGAAAAGAAAAACTGCATTGTGTGCATCATAGAACAATAAGCAACCCTTCCTCTTTAATTTTAGTACCTTTGTGTATGAATAACGTCTTTATACTCTGTGGCAGAGAAGTAGCAGCATCACCATTTTTATAAATTCGTAGGAAATACTAGTTTGGTGCTGCGATCATTGAACAATGTGACAAATGGAATGGATTCTATCGAGCATCATGAAGGAATTGTGTTTTGATGAGAAGCAAATATTTCGCCATCCCTTCCAGCCTTGCCGTTCATCCAAACAAATTGCTGATCGCAACCGGCCAAGTGGCAAGTATAGACAGACGAGATCGAAAGGTGGGTCTTCAATTTCGTTCCTATGGATTTTGGGAGACTTTATCTTCAACTTGGGGTTCTTGACACTAAAGTATTAATAACATGTACTGCTTGCACAATGAAAACTGCAATGCTAACTCCTGGTTTGTGATGATCCCTGAGAGTCAGCTGCATTAGATACATTTCTGTGGCTTCCTTGATCTTCTAAATCGGGGGTAGAACTCCTTCAAGGATAGGCCGCAATTGAGATGTGAGCAAGGTCTGAAAAGGCAAAGAAATATGATGGGAAAAATTATGCTACGAATTATTTTATCATTGTAATGGGCTGGTGTTAATGACTGGCCATTAGTGATGCAGGACATAAAATTGCCTAGCATTTTTTTAGCATGTGACCATGTCACACAACCTTGCATAACATTTACTTTGTTTGAGCTCGATGGGCTAATTACAGCAGTTTGTCAAGAGGTTATGTGTAGTATTTTTTATGGCATTCGGTAAGATTGGAATGTTCAGAAGCACCACATTCTTCTATTAAAATGGTTATTTCCACTGCTTTTCTTATTGCTAACTGCTACCCTTTACTTAGACATCTCTTTTTTTATAACTACAGTTCTGCCAAGCCATGCTAACTACTTCTGCTTCTTATTCTGAACTTGCTCTATGAATGTTTTTTTTTTTAGATTTATAACTTAACACTAATTAGAGTGATGTGTACATATTTTCTACTTATCCTGCTTTATTAATGCAGGTGAGCTATTTTTAACAGTTTCAACTGTTGTATTTCCTGCTCTTTTTAGTCTAATTTTACTAATGGCATTGCTTCGAATCTTTTGGTGCATTGACCCCTATGACTTAAAGGGTATTTCCTGCTTTTTGTGTTTGTTTTTGTACACTGCATGTAATTACCCTTTGCAAAGCAGTGATTTTATTGCTACTGGCTTTGCTCATGCACTAGCCCTTGTGATTTAGGAAAAAAAACCAAAAAACCCCCTTCAAGTTTGTATGTTTATTCCTACCCCATTTAGTAAAGTTTCATCATGTTGCACTTTCTAAAATCGTCAAGTTTGCGGTTAAGTTTGGTTGACGTGAGCTTCCTTCATGTTTCACACAAATTTCAGAATTTTAAAACTACCTGCGATCATAGCAGTATTACTATTACATTTAAATTTGTCGACTTTTGTAAGAATGACACCATCATTCTTCTATGCTTTCGGCTGTTGGGTTGCTACCTCTTGACGATGTTTCACAAGGCTTACAGAAAATTATTCCGGAGAAAGGTATTACTAAGTGGAAAACTTAGTAAGCACATGCTGATGATAGAAACTAGACTTCAAGGAGGTTAGTTGTTTATCTCCCTCAAAACTCTGGAGAAACAAATCTCAGATTTGGGGCCCAGCTCGTATTCCCAGTCTTAGTTTTATTCCAACAATTTAAGCAACAAGTCTTGCAAATTGGAGCACAATTTTAACAACTAGTAGTTTGGCTTTATGAAAAATTGTAAATTAGGACAAACAAAAGTTGTGTACAGGCTAATATACAAAAGAGCTGTACCAAAATTTGCATATATACAGAAATTAAAGAAAAACTAAAATAAATTTGTGCTTACAAAAGAAAAGCAAAAAAAAAAAACAAGTATGAAGATATCTTTAATTAGCACCAATTTATTGCAATACACAGGGGTCCCTGCTTATGGCAATTCATTCTTTGGGGTTCATATGAAGTGTTTTGTTTGGACCTTATAAATAGCAGGAGCAGAAGAAAATGGTGTTTGCATTAATCTGCTTAGGAGCATGTATACAGGGTGTGGTTTTTTAAGCTTTATAGATTTGTTTAAACAAATCCATGAAAGCTATACTTATCCGGTTTGTGCAGAGGAGTTATACGGCCCAGGGGGACATAATACAGGGGGGCTAATGGTTATGACCAGTCGGCTAATTAGAAATCATTTATTAACTTCTTAATTAGAAAAAATAGACATATGGCTCCAATTAGAAACTTGTTAAGCACCATCAAAAACCACTAAATCCACTCTTTTAGGAAGATTTAGGATAGGGGCAGAATTTTACGGCATTCTGAAAAAACGCTCGGTTTGGACGTGTTCCTAGGTTTCGGTTTCTTATCGGAGCACATCTTTGCGCCCACGGTCCTGCTCCCTGGTGGTCGCGGCAGGAAGTCACCCCCTCGCCTCCCTCGTAGAATGGAAGGAAGTTGGAATCGCGTGTGTTGCACATCTCAGCCACTGGGGAGCGGTACCGCAGGCGCAGAGATGCGCTCCGATAAGAAACTGAAACCTAGAAACGCGTCCAAATGGAGCAATTTTTTACGGAACGCCGTGAAATGCTAGCTTCACGTTATATATTTCTAAAAAGATTTGATTTAGTGCTTTTCATTGACGCTCAGCAAGTTTCTAACTGGAGCCATATGTCTATTTTTATATTTAAAAAGTTCATTAACAAATTTGACTTAATTAGCCGACTGATCATTACGATTAGCCCAATATATTATGTCCCCCTGGCCGTGTAACTCGCCTATACAAACTGCATAAGTGTGGCTTTCACAGCTTCTTTTAAACAAATCTGTTAAGCTTAAAAAAAAAAAAAAGAAAACCTCGTACAGTATGGATAGAGCGCACTGCCAACTCTTGTATACAATTGCAGTGCACTTATTTATGTTGCATTCCCTCACTTCTTAATATTTTAATAGGAATACATTTTTTTTCAGAGTTCTTGAATTTATAGAAGGTAGCACACGATGAAACACAATTCCTTGTGGTAGACAAGAAGCCAAAGCACACAAATTAGCCTAGCATAATTACAAAAATCATGTATGGTTAAATTATATATAATACATAGGTAGGTGCTTTCATGAACTAACATAAATTTTCATGAACCAGCATAGACCACAGTTTGTTCACCCCGAAGTTGACAATATGGTGGAAGTTGGATCAGTCATGCGTCCATTTTTCGCCATAAGATCATGTTCCCGCCCGTTGTTCGGTTGTTTGGTGCGCAAACAATTTGACTACTGTCTGACATTGCTAAGTGCACTACTAAGGAGGCGTGAAACTGTTTGTGGGTCACTTTAAATAAATAAATAAATCAATATCCACACATAGAGAGCCTGGCCAGGTGATAAAATGGAGGCTGTTGATTGGTCCCGTGAGCACGTAACTCCCTCCGTACTGTCAGCTTACAGCGGAATTCAGAAACCTCACTAAAGCTACACTCAAACTGAAGGGCCCCTCCACTTCCTCGAGGAAGGCGCGAGCCGGCGCTGGCCAATCGCGAGGACGGATCCGCCGTCGCGATTGGCCAGCGCCGGCCTTTGAGCCTTCCTCGAGGAAGTGGAGGGGCCCTTCAGTTTGAGTGTAGTTTGAGTGAGGTTTCTGAATTCGGCGGTTAGGGGTGAACGGAGTATAGTGTATACCGTATAGTGCTTTCAAAAACTAACATGAGAAATAAAGAAACAAAGGTGCACTGATCCTTGGTGTTGTTTGAACGAGCCAGCAAGAGGAGGGGAGGGGGCAAATAGGCAATTTTGCAATGAGTAATTAGGCGAGGTCCACTGGAAGCAGGATTTCAGGAGTGTAAGCTTCTTCTGGCGTTTGTGTGTCTCGAGCGCAGAGCCGCCACTTTGAGATATCTCCGGCCGAGGAAGGTCTCATGGTGAGTCCTGGACGCCGGGATTGGATGGGGGCAGAGATTGGGGCATCCTCTGTGTGATGTCTCCTTGTCACTTGCACAGGGCTTCGCTTTCTTTTCGTTCGTTCTCTTGCCTTTGCTGCTGCTTCTGCTGTTGCTGCTTCTCCTGTACTGCACCTTTGCTTTGAGCTGCCGCACCCCTGACAAAGGAACATGTGGTCTTGTACGTTAGCAGTGTTTCGGCTGACTAGGAAGTCGACTGATTTGGTCTAGTACCAGAGAGGACAAGGGTCAGAAAGAAGGCAGTTTTCGTTTTGCAGAATGGACATGCGACGACAAGGATTCCCCTTGCTTTCAAGTGATCAGCTAGGATGATTGCAGCAGTAAGCTTGGCCATCCCTAACCTAAAAAAACTTTACAGGCTCACAGTTTCTGAGTCACTTTGAGGGTGTTAAGAATGTAAGGGAAAAGGGGATAAAAAATCTTGATAATACAATCACTTGCTTCTCATAATTTTTCAGAGAAAATCGAGCCTCTTAGGTTCTTTTTTTTTTTTTCGCCTGAAAACTTTTGTGTCTTGTGGGGCGGCCGCCTTCTACGTCTTTTCTAAACTTCATGGTTTCCGGCAACTTTTGAAACTTAACAAACAAGAAAAAAAGACACAATGGGGCTCATCTGTCCTCACCTTCGGTTTGTCTTTAAGTTTTCTAACAATACCAAAATGCTACCTATTCCGCCCCTCTAAAACTCATCGGTTCTCCTGTGTAGCAGACGTCTTTCATATGCACAAAGTGGTGGCTACTCAAGATTGAACTTGCAGCCACAAAGGGCCTTGCAACCTCATTCAGATGGTTCCTCACCTTTTAGTCATACATTTTTAACGTACCTCGTCGTTTTACGCCAACAATTGCACTGCCGATTCGCGCCGAGTTCACTGTAGCGGCCAACGCATCACCTTGTTTCGTTTGCTCTCCTCTGCAATCCTCGATATGTTGTTTCCTCGGCACTGCTATGTAGCATTGCCCAGGCTGTCCACACACATTCTTTGAACCTGTCGCGCACTGCGGGGGGTACTTGTTTGTCTCCAGCGCGCATTTGTGCTGCCCTGCGAAGAAGCCCTCTGGTGAATTGTGGCACTGTAATGAAGCGTTGCAATGTTTGAGTGCTGCAGGGGTTGATGCATTGATGTGACAAGACGGTGCAGAAGCCTACAGATATTGTAAACGATGACACTCGTACTAGGGAGTGCTTGGTGCATAGTTATGCATATGTGGGTGGCTCGGATCTGCTAAGATAGCGCTTGAACTGGAAAGGCACTTTACTTAGGGACGGCCAAGGGAATTAGGGGAACTCATGGGGGTGCTTTGGGGAACCCATGGAATGCCTTATCTATCAAACTGCAAAATATGCATCTAGGTACCTCTTGCTTGTTTATGGAAGACAATCATAAAGGATAGAAGCTAGAGGAAACGGTACTCGAAGTATGTGCCACAGCCGGTGGTGGGGAATGGAGGCAGGCGTGTGCTTTGGGGAAGTCTGATTTCTCAGAGGTGCTGGCAACCATTTCAAGACTGTCTTTTGTTCCTCTTGATGCGGTAGAATATACCTCTAAAACACTAGTTCAGTCGTAGCAAACAAGTTACAGCCTGAGGGGTGGAGAGTGTGCACTGCTCTCCAGTCTCTGGAATGCATTACAGCATGTTAAGGGGAAAGTGAGATGGAGGTGTTTGGTGGTCTCTGAGTGGGCTCAGCGGATGCACTACGTCGGACTCCTGAAAGGGTTGCATGCGGTGCTGGTCTCATTGTTTCAACTTTTTGTTCCACATCTGAAATGAGTATCATGAACTATAGGATGTCAATGTATTCTCTAGAAATTGACTGAAAGGTATCATTGAATCAGTTGCTGAATGTTTTCGCAAGGACAGTTTTCTGCACTGTGCTGTGACACCTCTTTCTTAAACGGCTGCTTATATTGGGCTTGTGCATTGACAGTTATCATACCTTGGTGTCAGTAATAATAATAATAATAATAATAGTTTGTATTTGCGAAGCAAGGGTGCGCTGGGTGACTCGCAAGGCTAGGCAGAAAGGCAATGGCCCCTACGCGTGAGCGTCTGCTAGCCAGCCACCCAGAGCAGATAAATGAAATTATTTTCTTTTGGCACTATCATATATCCACTTCCAGGAGGACCAAGGGATCGGGACAGTGCCGTCAGCTGCGATTGGTCAGCGCGACGCCATTGACCAGTCACAGCAGACGGCTTTGTCCCAATCTTTTGGTTCCACTTGGTGCCGTCGTGTAGCGAAGGGTCCTTGATGTGTGATCTATTGAACATGAAAATGTACTGCTAGATCAGTCCTGCAAAGCAAGTATACATAAGATTCTTGTGTTCTTTTCTTCTCTTCTAGCCACGTGTCATAAGCAGGGTAAAAACACATTTCATTCACGCCTTGAATCTCTTACTGTGCACTTGCTAAAGCATGTTTTGCACACTGAAGAGCATGAGTTGCACATTACACAGAAAAATTGCACGCTTTTTGTTCATAGGATGGGAGGTGTTTTTTTCTTTGGGTGTTTCTAAATTGTTGGTGCAGAAGTCTCTACAAATCTCTCGTTTGCGAGATTCACAACTGCAACAAGCTTTTGTAGTCTGTAGTATTTTTTTTTTTTCTTTTTTGCCATAAGTCGTTTAGGAACACCCGCACTTTTAAAAAAAGATTGAAGTAAAAAAAAAACAAAAAAAAAACTAGATCTTTCAAATGCCTGTAATCAATTGATAGTTTATAGAGTATGGGTGGATCAGCTGCACGCTTTGTGTGGAAGTTTGTGTGAATGCGAGTTTTGTGCTCTGCCTTTGCAAGGTGCATTTTTGCTGCACTACTATGTGTGTGTCTGTTCTAGATGACAGCTAGTGCCCTTTGCCAGAGATAAACTCGTTTCCATATATTTTGGTCATTTGCGCTTCGCTAACACAGATGGAAGCAACTGTTAGAGCTCCAATATAGAGAGCTCTTTGCTTTCTTCAGATCTGTGCATAGCGAATGCAAAATAATTTGGGGTGCATACCTCATGAATTCAGGTGACGATGTGTGTATGTATGCAGTGTTATGTTTTTGGCAGACTATATATGTGCATGTCTGTAATTGTATGCACGTTTAACTTTTCTGCTTTTGTTTTAGGGAGCTAGTGTCTCAGTGAGCTTTTTTGTTATATGAGTAATAATATGAGAAGCTTGGATTCAATTGTATCTAGAGACCGGCCATGTTTAAGTTGAAATTGCCGTATTTAAATGGAATCAGTTCCCATTTCACTGGGAGAATTGTACGATTTTATTTTCAACAGATTGGTGATTCTTTATTCTTGAGTATTTCTTTTTTGTTTTTTCCAAAATCTTTTTTTGTAAGATGTCCAAAAAGCATCTCTGGCCAAAACCAGCCAAATTACCATACTAGCTTTACTGCCTTCCGAACGCCTGACACATTTCAGCATGACGCTTTTGTAGCTAGGCTAAGCACGGCAAGTTTGCTGCCGATGTGACCATGTGCTTCCGTGTGGCTTGTGGCCCCTTGTGCGTCGCTCTTCTTTGGCTCATTGTCACCTCCGTCAAATTTGATCGTTCCTTGTTGTGACCTCTGCCGCTTTCGTCGCAGCCGCATGTCAGGATATGGGATTCCGTGAGCCTCAACACGCTTCACGTCATTGGTGTCGGAGACTTTGAGAGGGCAGTGAGCTGCATTGCGTTCTCAAAAATGGTGAGTCCGCCGTTTTTGCGAGTGACTCGAACAGCAAAGGTGAACGTGCTCTGTCGAAAGTGACCTCGACCAGCTCTCCCATACTCTGTTTCCCGCTGAGTCGGAGCGCAGCCGACGCTACGGTTCGGCCGAGCCAATCAAGCAGCGTCAAAAGCACATTGTCGCAGTGCTGGTCGTCTTCGTGCGTTTGCCATCGCCGGCTGAACCGACTGCGCACAGAGATAAAGCACAAGATCACGGCAGATTCGCTGTGTACAGTTGGTACAGCCAGTGAAGGCAAACGCACAACGGCGACGAATGCTGCGACAGAATCTTTTATGTTTTGATGGGTTGCAGAGTAGCTGAGTTTGGGAATCACAGTGTTAATCTCTACATTGTGGCATCCAATGCCCCTCAGTTGTAGTCTGTGCAACTTTATCTTCAAAATGAAATAAGTCAAACGCTGCACAGTTTGAATTGTAGTATATACACCTTTGAGAGCAAGTGCGCTTTAAAAGGCTACTTTTGGCCACCGCAGGTGAAAAGAATTATATTTGGAGGTAGTATACTAGTCTAGCAAAAACTTGGAGGACATTTAAGCTTCCCCTTTAAGAGTGGAACGCAATAGCGTTCCACTCTTAAAGGCGAAGTTCTATTCGCATCGCCTTCTTATTCTATCCTCATGCTCTTCGTGCCAATGAACAGGAAGTGTGGCGGACGTGGCCTCGTCAGTAGAGTGTACGGCTGGCAACCGAAGGGTCGTGGGCTTGAATCCCGCCTAAAATTGTTCTAATTGTTCTTTAAGTGTATATACTACAATTCAAACTGTGCAGCGTTTGACTTATTTCATTTTGAAGATAAAGTTGCACAGACTACAACTGAGGGGCATTGGATGCCACAATGTCGAGGTCATGTTAATTATGTTATAAAAGTAAAATCATTTGAGACCTGCGGCGACCTTTAAGTCGCATTACATGTCATGTTTTTTAATCACTTTCATTCCATGTGTGACGTCACATTTCACGTGAGCATTGTGGGTTGTTTGAAATTCTCACGCGAGGTTATGTGGCTGTGACGTCATGACCCTATCGCCCAATCAGGATTTTCCCGTCGCAATGCCACTGATTCCGATGCTGGCTTTTCTGCGACACCAGCTCCTTACGTTGTTGCTGTAAATTCTGGCCTTTCTTGGGACAAAGTTTAGGTGACGTGCACATTCTAAGCCAGGCAGTGCAAGCTGCCGCCCAATACAAAAGCTCTAGCCAATACCATTTGTTAATCTGGACTTTAACATTGAATGACGTACTATAAACGTGCTAGTAGCAAAATGGTAGTGACGTCGACATCGGGAGGCTTCTTACATAATATGTGGGGACATAAAAATTGGTAATCGTGGTATACAAGGTTTGAAATTGAACTCGACGAAGTTTATTTGGTATTGAAACAGCTCTCGCAGAGTTGTCCTTTGACAAACGCCTCATGTTTTTTAATGGTCGTAGGATGGTGGCTCCATCTTGTGCGCGGTGGATGACTCAAGCGAACACACCATCTCTCTCTGGGACTGGCAGAGAGGGGAGCGGGGATCCAAGATCACGGAAACGAAGGTGACATGCAAGCACGGCTTCTATCCTCGACGTAGTGTCGGCCACTCTGGATGCCTCTTAGCCGCATGTCGCAAAATACCATTCTAGAACAGTGTCCAAAGCCGAAGCAAATTGGAATTTTCCTCGTAAGCTGTATCTCTTTAGTAGCATCCTGACGGCGAAATTATCCGCGATTCGTCGTCGTGCAAACTCTCCGGATTTCTAGACGGCGGTCGAGCCTCCAAAAACATGTGACGCTAACTGCAACCTGTTTTAAGGGCACGAAGTTGCCCGTTTTAAGTTCTATGTACATACGGTACTGTTGGCTTTTGAGTCCGTGCTTGGAAAGTTTTTGTCTAGCACGCACCTGACCTCAGTTCCGGCCCGAGTAGAAAATATTCGGCAAAGGGTGTGTTGTGTGCTACACGGTCGGTTCTCGGAAACAGTTTTACTCACCTATTTCAACTGCTGTATACAGAGCGCATCTGACGCTGTGCTTGCTGTGGAGTTCCACCCGATGGACAGGCACGTCCTTGTCACCCTCGGCAAGGGACACATTCACTTTTGGGACATGGAAGGAGGCACGCTCGCCAAGAAGCTGGGCATCTTTGAGGTGAGATGAGTTGAAGTTTTTGCACTCGCTTATCACATTCCGTAAGATCCCGCAAGGACGCCCACCCCAAAGTGAAGAGATCAACTGTGAAAAACATGGGGTGGGCTGGTCACCTTTGGGGTTGCGGCAGAAAATCTTTATATTAAAAAAAAAGTGATAAAGCAGAGGGCCATCCGCTACAAGCCATGTGAAACGGGAACTGATACTGCCGATTGCGGAAACCGAAAATTTTCGCTTCACGCTATGATAAACACGCGGGAATTCGCTACAAACTCTTGTGTCACTGTACAAGGTGATGCAGATTGTGGACGCAGCAGATCTGCTTTGCACGGTGCTAAGGACATGCGGGAACTGACCACCAACTTGCACGTAATGGAAACCGATACCGCGGACGCAGCCGATTTTCATTTTACAGTGCAATAAACACATGAGGACAACTCGCATGTCACAGGAATCTATATCGCATGTGCAGATCACGGGCACAAAATGCAAGAACCCGTTCCAAACTCGCATGCCACGGGAACGAATACCACGAATCGCGGACACAGCAGACTCGCATTTCCTGATGCAATAAACACGCGGGATCAACTTGCGTGTCACGTGAACCAATATCGCATGCGCAGATCGCAGACAAAAGTGTATGAACCAGCTACAAACTCCAGTCACGTACTGGTACCATAGATCGCGCGGTAGATGTCATTTCTATTGGACATTGCACAATGTCCTACGGGAATATCTACGGGAATATTGGGTGGTTGATGATTCAGAAGTTTTACGTTTTAGATCAGGGGTTCTCAAACTGGGTTCCGGAGAACACAGGGGTTCCACGAGCTGGTCTCATGGGTTCCACGAACACCTATATTGTAACCCCAACCCCCCCACGCCGCAGGCTGCACGGCAGGACCATGCAAAGCGCCTTCATTTCACTTTGCACTGACATTGCGATTGATATGGTGGGGATATACGGGAAGCAACACAAGCAAAATCGCCTACAATTGTGCATCTGTTACCTCTCGGTCGGCAAATATAGGGGGGGGGGGGGAGTGTTCCACTGCAGTTTTTGAGGCTTCCTGGGGTTCTGTGTGATCAAAAAGTTTGAGAACCCCTGTATATAGATATTTAGCCAGAAAAATGGGATGGGCAATCTCTTGGGGAAGGGTGGCCTGACGGGATTTTATGGGATTTTCTTTCTACAACGTCTTTGCTTCTTGACTGTAACACTTGAAGGTGTACTATACTCGGCATCAACTTTCTTGTGCTACGTTGTTATGGCTAGCTTAGTTTCCACAGTGTTGTAGCCCTGTACTGCTGTGCGAGCACGTGGCTTCATTCATCTTCTGTCTCATTAGCATGCACTCACAAAAGTAGCTTTGATAGACTGTGGAATGGCTTTGTCTTCACCCTCTGGAGCTGCCATATACAAACTAAAAATGTTTTTCTACATGCAAGGAACTTGGTATAAATTAGTTTAGAAAGTTGGAGAGTTTTCTTCCCAAAATATAAAGTCAGCACTTTCGTTAGTACTTTGGAAATAACAGAAGAAAGCACCAATAGAACAGATTTTAAATATTGGCAAATGCAACACAATTAAGAAAAGCAGGTAAAGCGGCTTGGTTTTTATTTTTGAAGTGTGCTATGTTATGTGGTGTAATGTATCTTTAGATCTAAATACTGTGACAGAAAAGCTTCTTTTTTTTTTTTTTGCCGCTGTTTACATATTTGCTATCAAAGCAAATCTTGAAGTGTTAAATGTGTAGAATGCGTAGTTTTACTTCTTGATGACATTGTAACTTTGCTGTGCTCCACTATATTTTATTTCTGGAGTTTGTTTTTGCTGGCGTTGAAGTTTGTTTTGGATGAGGGATGCATCTAAGCATCTAGAAACAGTGTCAAGAGTTTGTTTATCACTAGTCATGCTGCCAGTGTGTCTTCAAGCTGCACCATTGGTCAGCATGGCTTTTTGTTGATTTCTGGACTCTGAGCAAACAAAATGACATGCTTGGGCTGCCACCCTTCAAGTTTGTGCAGCCGTGTCGAGATTGGTGGATATGTGTTTGGCCGCCTAACTTGCTCCCCCTGCACACGTTTTCATTGCACCTCCGAGCGAGTCGTACAACACGTCCCCGCAAAAAATGTCGTGTTTTTTTTTCACCACAAAAAGAAACTATGCATCGCTGAACATTCTGCCCTTGTCGACATGTAGCATGGCAGACTGGACCAGATGCCAGAGTTTCAGAGCTTGCTATCTTAAGGTGGTGATTTTCTGAAACTTTACATAGGAAAAGGGTGCACGTTCCTGGTAGCTGACACGGTTCTTCTCTATGTATTTGTAGGCTTTGCCAACCGCCGGTCTGCCATTGAAAATTTCCAGAAATCGCTCGTAACTTTTGAACAAGACAATGGCAAGCTCTGAAATTTTGACGTCTAGTCCAGACTGCTAGTGCTATTTTTGGGCGGAGACTGGGCGTTTGGCAGCGTGTAGATTATTTTTAGGGTGAAAAAAAGAATGCTGTACATTTTTTGTCGAGGACAGCCCGCACATGAATTGCACGTGCCCAAACGGGTGCACCCATTTTTCCCCCGTGTTTCGCGTGCAGAGCGCCAGTGTTGATGGTGGTGAGGTCTCTGACGGTGGTTCCGCGGCGGTGAGTTGATGACGTGTTTGCTCAGCTGCCGCTGATGAAACTGTGGCCCAGCAACTAATGTGTAACCCCCTCAACACTGATCTGCATCTGGCATGTTCTCATCCCTTCTGTTTTTTGTTTTTGTTTTTTCGTTTTGGTTTTTAACAGTGCATTGAGAATGTTTTTTAGCTGGCCGGTAAGCAGTTTGCTCGCTGGTCGGTTCCAGTAAACTCGCATGCTTGCTATTCACGTTTTCTTCGAATTGGTTTGAAATGTATAGACATTACAATCAAATGGCCTTTTAGTGTGCAAACACTTTGTCTTGCAGATAATATGTTACGTAACCAGCATGCTAAGATTCGTTTGAAAAGCTTCTAATCATGTTGTAAATGTTGTAATATTTGTTTTTGTTCAGTTGACGGGGATAGAAGTAATATGACATGCAAGCAGGGGTGTTTTTCCACTTTTAAAATGTTTGGCTTTGTCATTGGCACAACAGCTGTAAAGGATCATAAAAATCTCTTGTTTTCAATTTCATAAAATCACTACTCTTACGGCGGTGCAGTAGGCACTGTGGCAGATTATTAATTTGGACGATCGTTTAACTGTAAGTTAACTGTTAGCGTTGCTTTAAAACACTTTGTGGCAAAATGTGCTCTAGATCTGGAGGAGGGGTTCGTGTTAATGCAGAATTCCCAGTAGTTTGTTTTGCCTTGCAGAAGAACAACAAGCCCAAGTATGTCCTGTGCATGACCTTCACCGACCTTGGAGAGCTTCTCACTGGTGACTCAAATGGGAACATCATGGTCTGGCAGAGGGGTGAGTCCGAAAGTGGTCACCACATTTAGGGGTTTGACCTGTAGGAGATAACACTAGGAAATCCATTCCAACTTGCTGTTTGTATTTTCTGTTGCCACATTTGTGGTAATTTAATGCCGGGGACCCAAGTCTGCCACGCCCGTTTCAACAAGTGGTGGGTGCAAACAGTTGGAGGAAAACGCACCTGGAACATTGGTCATGTGACATTTCGTCACGTGACACGTCGAGAGATGAGGTAGTGTTGTGGACGGCGCTCCGTCGCATTGGCTTCACCGCGTGACATTGCCGCACTGCGGAAAAGCCGCCTCGCCACACGCACATGCGACTTGTCTGTGCTTGTGGATGGTCTGAAATGGACTTACGAAAGAAGCAAATAATATTATTTTCTCTCGCATACTTCTGTTCTTATATTTAGGAGAATCTCATATATGTTCTGTATATGCAGTGTTGTTTATTTGAAGGCTTTTTCAAAACGATCGCTAGGTTCTTGTTATCTTCATTGTAGATTTTGTTCCACGCCCTTCACGTGTGCAGGATCAAACCGCGTTGCACGGGTGGTGAGCAACGCGCACGACGGACCCCTGTTCTCGATCTGCGCCATGAAGGACGGCACCATCGTCACGGGAGGCGCCAAGGACCGCAAGGTGGTGCAGTGGGACGCCAACCTGGTCCGGACAGGACAGGAAGCCAAGGTGTTTATTTATTTAAGTACCTTTAAAGGTGCGAGTGGGGAATTACACAGAGGGAGTAAGATTCATATGAATAATTATACAAAGTCTATTGATGCAAAAAAACAAGGATCACTCCAGAGTGATTATTAAAAATCACTGCTGCTTTTGCTGGTTATTCTGCCTGCGCTTTGTGTATTCCTAGTCGTGTCTTGGCAGTATGTTACTCTGTCTTTGCAGTATGTTATTCTAGGATAAAAGAGGTTTCAAAGCGGTGAATATGGATGTTTTTGAGTAAAGCGGGAGTGCAAGCAAGAGTACAGCCGTGGCTGCCAAGGTTATTTCTGTCTGGTTGGTGGGTTGTGCCTTTGACGTACCAAAGCGCCGTTCACACTCTTGCGACCGAGTAAGACCGAGAGAGACTAGACCGGTTTTTAAGCCTTTTGCGACTTCTTAGGACCGGATGCGCTGCAGCGCGGAGCTGGTCTTAAGAGATCGCAAGAGGCTTAAAAATTGGTCTGGTCTCTCTCGGTCGTACTCGGTTGCAAGAGTGTGAACAGGCCTTAACCCTTGCACCAGGGTTAGTACTATGTCAATATTGCCAGGGTGTTTTTGGTAGATGGACAAACCAGATGGTGATGATGGTGGGTCAAAAGCAGTCTATGCATCAAGAGCACTGTCAGGTTTACCGCCGTTGATCGAGTAAAAGGGGAAGAATTCAGCAGTTGATTGTACGGTCATATCGTAGGCATGGGTTACGAAGAGTAAAATAACATGGATCTGTTTTTTTTGTTTTTTTTTCTCTGCCTCTAGCTTCCGGACATGGTGGGAGGCATCCGTACCCTGACGCAGGGCAAGGGCAGCCTCCTGCTGATTGGGACCACGAGGAACTCCATCCTCCAGGGAACCTTCAGCCTCAACTTCTCCACCGTCGTGCAGGTGAGCGTGAACATTTTGTTTCTCCTGCATGTTCAGTTCTTACAAATCGGCAATATAGCATGCAATAAACAAAGACAAAGAGGGGCAACAGACAAGACGAGCACTCAACTTCATCTGAACATTTATTGGAGCTACGTCCAACAAAGAAAACAACCACATCATAATCGCGTCAGCACGTGCTCAAAAAGGCAAACTTTTGTTTGTGTGTTCAGTATTGAGTTTGCATCGGAGGTCGTACGGGACACGTCGCCGTCTTTGTTTCAGCCTCTTCTCGAAGCCATTAGGGAACGACCAGATGAATTTTTGACTCGAAAGATGATCGTTGGGGGCAAAGGCTACATGGCGTTAGTATATTGTCAGACTACGACAAGGCAGTTCTGTCAGCTTTGACAAATTGACATCAGAGTGGTGAAAATACTATTGACACCTGCATTATGATATGCTATCGTGACACAAAAGGCCGTGATCATGGAGAGAATTACCGTATTTACTCGCAGAATGAACGCACTTTTTTTCCCGAAAAATCGATGCAAAGTTCCGGGGGGGCGTTCATTACGCGAAGTAAAATTTTTGCGTCGGTATTTACTCGCATAATGAACAGACATTTTATCCTGAAAATCGAAGTAACTTCTTATCTCTTTGCGCGCGGCGCCCGACCCCGTAACCAAACTAAGCTGTGAAAAAAAATGCCGTTCCGTTTTTCGCAAGCTGTTTTGTTTGCTTAGGCGTTGCTTAGGCGTGGGCTCTCCGCTTATCTTTCTTATCTCCTTGCGCGCGACGCACGACCCCCGTAACCAAACTGCGCTGTAGAAAAAAAAAACGAAGAAAAAAAAGCTCCTCGTTTTCTTTTGTTGTTTTCTCAATTCCGTTTCTTTTTTTTTTTGCCGTTTTTCGCAGGCTGTTTCGTTTGCTAGAGGGCTTCTCCGCTTTTCTTCCTTACCTTTTTGCGCGCGGCGCGCGACCCCCCGCAACCAAACTGCGCTGTGCAAAAAAAAAAAAGAAAAGAAAAAGCTCCTCTTTGTTTTTGTTTTCTCTTAGTTCCGTGTTTTTTTTTTTTTCTTGTCGCCGCCTTTTGCAAGCTGTTTCGTTCGCTTAGAGCGCTTCTCTTTCTTACCTCCTTGCGCGCGGCGGCGCGCGAACGCAAAGCCCAGACTGCGCTGTGCAAAAAAAAAAAAAAAAGCTCCTCCATGTTTTTTTTTCTTGCTTCCGTTGGATCTTTGGGAATTTTTTAACGCCTTTTGCAAGGCGTTTTGTTCGCCCACCCTGCCCATGCATTCGCGACCTCGCTGCACCAGGATAGAAAAGTGCGTTCATTTCGCGCGCGTGGGGGGAGGGGGTCAACATTTTGACGTCCAGTTGGGGGTGCGTTTATTACGCGAGTGAAAAAAAAAGTCGAAATTTTGAGAGCCGACTTGGGGGGTGCGTTCATTACGCGAGTGCGTTCATTGTGCGAGTAAATACGGTATACCTCCGCCCACCCAACTGGAGACAAAATGGGCAAAAGCGATGAACACCAATGTGCCAAACCCCTGGTCCTCCCTTTAGACCCCATCACACCCAGCCCCACCAAAGACCGAAAACAAAGGTGATGTCATCACCCACAACATCAATCTCTTCGCCTCGCCTACAGGTCCACTTGAACAGTCATCGCCATTTTTCTTTCATCTGTGCAATCTCGTAGCAATGTGATGCTGTGCCGCAGGCCTTCGCAGTACGGGCAACTCGCCTTTCTGCTGCACTGCGGCTCTTTCGAGCTAGAGAAAATATTATCACCTATGATGTCAAAGTTGGATGGCGTGCAACCTCTCAGAATAGGCCGCTCATGTTTTTGTTTTTTTTTGTGCGAGTTTTCAGACTGCATTATTGCTTCTGAGACAGTGACATTGTCGTGGCTGTCCTTTCAGGGCCACACGGAGGAGATCTGGGCGCTGGCGGTGAACCCGACCCAGAACCAGTTTGTGACGGGTGGCTACGACTGCCAGGTGCACCTGTGGGACACCCTGTCGCATTCCGTCGTCTGGAGCAGGGACCTCGGGGTATGTGTCTTTCTCTTGCAGGTACCCTTTGACGTCGGTCCAGTCGAATTGTTGAAAGACCCAATTGGGAAGGGCAATTCGGACTTGCCATTAAACACTGAGCTTGTGCCCGTGTCGTGGTAATCACTTACTCTCTACTCTTGAAACATTCTAAATCTAGGCAAAAGACATTGTGTGCCCACCTCGACAGAAACATCTGGCCTTGCCGAGCTAATCCGCTTGCTCCTTCGTGTCGGCTGCTTCTCCTAGAAGCCGGTTCCAAACGGTGATGCTTTATGCTCGTGCACCGGTGCGAGGCAGCGAAGCTTGACGCACATACACCGGTGCTAATAGCCGATTCACACGACAGACCAAATCGCGATTTTCGTCCGCGGACCGTGTACCACGTGACTGGCACGTCACCGATTCCTGCGATCCGCGCCTCCTCCGCGGAGGCGCGGACTGATAAAGTCGAGTGCCTTTTTCACTCGCGGATGTTTGGCGGCAGACTGACTTGGAAAGCATTTAGTCTGGCAACGGTACATGGTTTTCTTGGTATTTTGCTTCTGTGCGTTCCAAACAAAAATGGCGCGTCGTTGCGTTTTGTGCGTTTGTTGGTTCATTTTGTCGTTCGATTCTTGGTTCCACGCGTGAGAGAAACTCCAGAAACTTTGTTCGGCTGACGCGACGCAAGTTCCGGTGCTCCTCCGGGTCCGTGTCAAGAAGCTCCCGTCAAAACTAGTCTAGCACGCCGCGATAATTCTTGCACGTCCAATCAGGATTTCACCGAGCAAGCCCTCTCTTGTGGATGTGGTGTGCTTGAGTGTTGTGCACGAGCGCGGAGTGTGTGAAGGCATCTCCAAACGCCCCTCCGCGAGCCCAGAAGTTCGTCGCGTCTTCGCCGAAGCTTTCTCGGGCAGGATCATGCCTGTGTCACTGTCATGCTTTGGGTTAGTAAAGTTAGTGGCGCTTCGCGCGAAGCCTGTCCCGGTGTTTTGTTCTCGATCTGCACGTAGCAGCGGCGTACGATTCTTTGTCGCGGTAGCAACCGTCGATTTCTCTCTTGGACAACGGTGCTACTGTGCGATGTTGGAGTTTCGCGGCACTGCGGGGTGCGAACAGGTTCGGTCCGTCCTCACTGGCGTCTGCTCGTCGTCTCCCTCGTGTGGATGCGCTTGGGAGACGGACGAACCGCGGATATGTCATCACGTGATCAATCCGTCCGCGGATCAGTCCGTCGTGTGAATCGGCTATAAGCGGCGAAGCTTGACGCTAGAGCGCCGGTGCAAAGCAGGCTTGACAAGAGCAATGCGGCTACTTTAATCGTATGGGCGTTCTGCCAGACCTCTATGCTGCTCCTATGCTACTTTGTCGGATCACACAAGGGTCCATCCTATCATGATCCGCCCTTCTACTTTTCTGCTGTACTCGTCCCCATGTTTTGACAATTACCTCAGACTTCTGCACAGCCATTTGCTCGGTACTTTACAGTGGAGTCTTTAGAAGAATGCTGGAATCTCCTCGGCAAAATTGTCGCTTCTCTGGGTGACTCGCATTTTGCCTACCTGCCCTGCGAATTCCAATCTGGAAAACGTGATTCTCAGTCAAACCTTCCTCGTAGCATCACTCCTGTAGCTACCCGTAACCGTGCGGAAACTGGAACAGGCATGGTTTACATGTGCAGCACGGCGCTAAGAAAATGTGAAGTCAGCACTGCATCAGTGCTGATGCAGTACAGTGCATTTATAACAATAATGAGAAAACCCGAAAATTCAATCGTTATAACCGATTATTGTTGTCTGGACTAGGAACTGAGCATTTTTTGTCTAGAAACTCTAGAAACTGATCGTTATAAGCGGTACATCATTATATGTGGTATCGTTATAAGTGGATTGCACTGTACAGCGTAAAGTCAGCACTGGATCGTTAGTGCCGAGTTAAGCGCTGTGTTGTGTGTGTGAACTGTCCCTTAGGTAAACAGGTTCGACTAGGAAGCAAGTTTACGAGGATGGTGCACCTTTCTAAGAATTGTTTTTATCCATCGAGGTTTTTGGGTCGAGTAGACTAAGCACCCATTTGTCCCACAGGAACAGGCACAGGCTGCATGCTTCTCACCTGACGGCAGCGTCTTGGTGCTGACGACGCGGACGGGGCGCTGGAGCGTCATGGACTCGGCCACGCGCCAGCTCTACTCTATGCATACGGACGGCACGGAGCCCATTGATGCCGTGGGCTTCTCTCCCAGTGAGTGCCCGACGAGAGTTTCAACTAAAGTGGGAGGCCGAGAAGCTCCGGTTGTCTTAGACTGTCGCGAGGCGATTGGCTTGAGGCACGTCTGACGGACTGGGAATCTACAGAGCACATTGTATAGTACACCCTGGAAGTAGTGCTGGACAACGTTGAATAGCGCTGCACAGCTATAGAAAAAACTGCTTTAGTTGTAGAATAAATAGCATCGTAGCATTATGCGGCTGTAGTAGAATTAATTGAGGAGTAGAGTAGAGCGACTGAACGGCTAGTGTACAGTTGAGCATGTAGTGTTGCAGAGGGGTAGGACAACAATTGTACAGTTGAACAAATTTTGTTGTTTCAGGAGTAGAGCAACTAGTGTAGAGTTGAACAAATAGCGTTGTAGAGGAGCGGAACAACTAGTGCGCAGTTGTAGAAAGAAGAACACTGTACAGCTATCAAAGAAATAATGTTGTGTAGCTGTAGAAAAAATTTTGTCGTCCAAATAGAATGGAAAGTATTGCATGACTGTGTCGCAACTGTGAAACAAATAGTGGGGCATGGTAACACTGTGTTGTTACAGAAGTAGTATTGTACCACTATACAAGCAGTATTTTACAAAATAATCATTACGTACTGTAGCAAATGACTAATAAGATGAATGCTGACTTGTTACATAAGCTGTGCAGCAGATAATGTTTTTTACTACAATTATGCTCAGCCCCTCAAGGTCAAATACTCCATCCACGCACAGTAATATTAAACTGAGACATCTTGTCGTTGGCAAAGAGAGCACTGCTGTATTCTGTTGGCTAACTAAGTGGACTGGTTGAACTTGAAATGCTCTTTCTTTCTTTTTGCAGATGGTCAGCTTTTGGCATTGGGCTCGCGGGACAATTTCATCTATGTTTACCAAGTTAGTGACGAAGGCCGCAAGTACAACCGCATCAGCCGATGCTCGGTGAGTAGAAGCAGCATTGGGTGTGCTTTCAAACTGTCCCTTTGTAACTGTTTGTACAAGCACAACGCGGCTGATGGCTTTTTGAGCTGCACCCTTAACAACAAGTCTGTGTTGTTTATGTTTTTGAGTGGCTGACCTCTTCTCTGTTTGTTTCTCTTTGCGGCTTCTTCATTTGCCTGTTTTGGCCAGTGAGTAATCATGCAGTCCAGATTTAGGGAAAAAGAAGTCTAAGTTTTTGTCAAAGTTTTTGTCAATTGACAAAAACTTAGAAGTCCAAGTTTTTATCAATTTAGAGAAAAATAACTCTAGACTCTACTGCAGTAGAACCCCGTTATAGTAACTCCACATGTAGTAAAACTCTGGTTATAGTAAAAGGAAGTGCCTGCCCCGTCTGAATTACCATTTCCTCTATGGCTCAACATTCTGATATGGCAAACCGTTAAAACTCGAATACCTGTTATAGTAAAACACGGCAGTACCGATGAAGTGTTATTTCCCCTCAACAGCATACTTCCTCAGTGAACTCTCTGGAGATTGGCTCCTAGAAGCTCTAAAAGTGTGCATTAACTACCAAAGCGCTACAGGCTACTGTGCTGCCGTATGATGACAGCTTTCTGAGAGAGCGTCAGTGGTGCTGCAGTCGCTCGCGATTTTTCATTCTTGGGGACCCGCGGTCGTCTGCCATGTCAAAACAGTAGGCCTAACAAAGCCGAGGAGGTGCCGCTTTTTTTTTTTTGGGTGTTCGGCACTGAACAGCACATCACAAATGATCCTCATCATAAGTGAACTACGCTCATTAAAAAAAAAAAAATGTGAAAGCCGCTTACAACTCCCTGTAATGCCGAATTAGAGTGCAGCTCTTGAGGAGGAGGAGGGAAGGGTACTGGGGGGGGGGGGGGGGGGGGGGTTCAACTAACCAGGGGGGGGTCACGTGACCTTGGGGATCCCGTGACCCCCCAATGCCAATGATGTCATCACTGACGTCACTGATGATGTCATCAGTGACGATGACGATGCGGATACCGACGGCGTCATTAGTGACGTCACTGATGACTTCACCAGTGATGATGACGATGACGATGCAAATGTCGGTGACGTCATCAGTGACGTCACTGATGACGTCATCAGTGATGATGACGATGACGATGCAGATGCCGGTGACGACATCAGTGACGTCACTGATGACGTCGTCAGTGATGATGACGATGACGATGCGGATGTTGGTAACGTCATCAGTGATGATGACGATGACGATGCGGATGCTGGTGACATCATCATCTGATGACGATGACGATGTGGATGCCGGTGACGTCATCAGTGACGATGACGGCATCGGGGGGTCACACGGCATCGGCGGGGGTCACGTGACCTCGAGGGGGTTACGTGACCTCAGGGGAGTCACGTGACTTCGGGGGGTCACGTGACCTTGGGGGGAGGTCACGTGCCCCTCCCCCCACGAGGTCACGTGACCCCGGTGGGGGGCTCGCGCGGTGTATTATGGGACATTTCCCATAATGCACCGCGCAGTTACGCTGACGGCGACGTCGCTCAAGCCGGAAACGGGCCCCTAAGAGCTGCGCTCTAAAAGCAAGTAACAATCGGTAGGGAACACTGTTCCCTACCAGTAACAGGCAGGCAGGGAACTGCGTTGGTCTTCGTCGGTAGTCGGGCAACAAAGGTGCCGTTTCTGTTGCAACCGTTGAATAATGAACCAGCAAGTGCTGCCCAGAGGAAGAACCTGAACCCACACTCACAAGGCGGGAACTTTTGTTTACTTTCGACAGTCATGGGGGCTCTAAATGCAGCAAATGCTAATGAGAACACTATGCGTGCACGACAAGCCTTGAGAGCTTCCTTGTGAAGCACGAAGCACCTACAAAACAAAGTGATGTACCCGATTTCTTTACTGCAATTTAAAAGGTGTTTTTGTAGTTCTGTTGTATGTTTTTGGACTAATAAACGTTTTGCTCCTTTCCACTCCCTTTTTAAAGCTTCAATACTATCGAGACAGGTTATAACAAAATCAACGGGAATCGGAAATCACTTCGCTACATTCGCTATTTTGTTATAACCGACTTCGGCTAACGAAGTGCAAAAGCGAATGAAAAATCATGATTGCTTCGTTGTAGCCACTAATTCGTTATAACCGACTTCGTTATAACCGGTCTCGACAGTAACAGATTTTTTAAGGTGCTCCTGATATAGTTGAAACTCCTAATATGTAGTAAAATTACTGCCCGGTCCCAACAGGTTTACTATAAAGGGGTTCTACTGTATGAGTACCTAATGTCTAGGTCTTAGGAATTGTTAAAAAGAGAGGCTTAATGTAAGAGTTGTCTTGTATACGTTACGAAGACATACCATATTAGGATAGCATTCAAGTTTTTGGTCCAGGACTAGTAATGCCAATATGGGGACAGATTTGAACTTAAATCTGCTTCCTGTTTCTGACACATGACACAATGTAACAAAACTCTGCTTTTCATAAGTAATTTTGCAACTGTAGGAAAGTGACTTTCAGAAGAGCAATGTTACGAATTAGCACACTTCAAATGGTAAAGTTTATTTACAGCTGTATGTGGAGAATAGGTCTGTATTCTCCACATTTTTATAGTTTCAGATAAGAAGTACTTTCACATTTTGCACATTCCACTCGAAATCTCTATGAAAGACACAGAATCTTTCTGACATTCCTTCAATCGTATTGGTCGTTGCAGAGCTTAAAGTCCTAGGCCTTCACGGTTTGCAAAATCTCTGGCTATACAATGGCGGCATTCCTTCCTCTTGCACGGCTACTGCCATGGGACGGCTCATGCAGTTCGAGGTTATCCCTGTAAACTCCCAGCAAATTCGAGAATGTGAGGGGCATTTGCTGGAGCGCTCTCACTAGCAAACAACCATAGTTTTGTCCAAGCATCAATTAATCAACCTTCCAATCAACCAATCAATCACACAGATCAGCCACCCAATCATTGGTCAATCAATGAGTTCTCAGTCAATCAATTGGTTAATTGGCCAGTGAATAAATTAGGGTATTAAATTTATTAGCATATTTTAAAATAAAATCGATCGACCAATATTTTTTTTTACAACGTAAATGTTTTACATATTTTTCTCTGTCGTGTAGTGTTTTCACGTTGCCTCTTTGTTTCTGATGGGAGGGAAACACTTCTCTCTGCTTCCCTCTTTCTCTTTCTTCTTTTGCCCCTCCTCTTGCCCGACCCCGACCTTACCGTAACAAAACAATACGCCTCGTTGACGTGGTGGGGGGATAGAAACCCCCGGTGAAGGACCAAGAGGCCCGTCGCCACGTTGCGCCGCACTGGGTATGGGCTGTTTGTGCGGCAGACCTTTCTCTCTTTTTTCCGCCCGCCTGCACGGTGCATGCTGCACTCGCAGTCGGAAGGCATGACATGTTGCATGGCTTTGTCGCCGACCCCATCGCCATCTTTTTGTTTCAACTCTTTCGACTCTGGAAGGCAACAAAAGATCAACTGAGAAGATGACTTTATGCTGCCTTCTGAAAGTTCCGTTGCAACAAGCATGTCTGAGTGTTCTAGGCGTACAGTTAAAGTTCACACATCTGTGTTTGACTTGCAACAGGCTGTGCCGTCCCATCTATCGGGAAGCCCGGGCCCATTTCCCGTTTGCATATATTTTATTGTTAGGCACCTCACTCGTAATGCCTCTGCATGGGCATAGGCGACCTATCAAACTGACATCTTAACGAGCTTTGGTGCAGCGTGCTTTGTGTTGCTTTTGCACCATTATACACTTAATCTTAATCATCATCAGCAATATCGAGCAAACACTCAAGCAATCGACGTCTGAATCTTGTGTGCAGCTCGACGCACATAATACAAAAAAGGATTTGTCCTGGATCAAAATACCAGTATGGCACGCCAGTATGGCAAGGGGAGCCCATTTTACATGTCAAGTTTTGTTTCTTTATGTTTAATTCTCGGGGTTTCTGTAAGATGGATGTTTTCTAGAAGTAGTTTTGCTATACACTCATGTTGCTGGTGACATATCTCCAACTAAAAGATTTAAGGGGTGGGGGGGGGGGGGAACAGTACTGCATAGTGCCTTACTCAACTCTGACACCCATTGGTTTGAGATACTGTCTTGCCTAAGCACCTTTTTGTGCACCCCTAGCATTTCCCAGCTGGCATCCATTTTTTTTTTTCACAATAAAGTGTTGCAATAATTTGAAACCCACATTTTCTACTCATGCCATTGTTAGATGTACAGTGCTCACCGAAAAGGTCCGCCTTTGGCACTTTTTTTCAAAATTTATGTGGCTATCGGTTACCTGCTCTGGGTATAGAGCATCCCTCAATTTTTTTTCTTGTGCAGGCATGAAAATGTAGCAGTTTAAATGCAAAACATAAATCACTTTTCAATCATTTTGTATGCTTCAGTTTTAAATCTAGGGACATCCTTGTGTGGTGCATGTGTATGCCTCTAACTTGGATATTTTGACAATTGAACAATGCTAGAAAACATCTTAGCTCACGAATTCGTTTCTAGATTCGAAAGAAGCCTCTAGAAAACGGGACGTGTTCCTGCATTTGACTGCACTGGCTCGCACTTCACCAAAAGAAAAGCCTGAAGCGAAATGGGCAGCTTACGGATTGGGTGTTGCAACCTCAGACATGGTGTCCCCTTTTTTCTCTATCCATCCAATTAGTTTGCGAGACTTATTATACAGTCGTATAGTGCTCGGAAAACGCCTCGTCTGTCCGCTGAGTTGCGAGACCTGTTTTAGAGTCACGTAGTGCTCGGGAACGCCTAGCATGTATGCCGGCAATAGCGCGAGGAAAGAGTGTTTATTTGTCGTGCTTGTTGCGCATGTCAGGGCCACTCTAGTTTCATCACACACCTGGACTGGTCAGAAGACAGCACCTATATCCGGTCCTGTTCGGGAGACTACGAGCTGCTCTTCTGTGAGTGTCCCTGTTGAGGATCTGTTTTCTTCCATAGAATCTGACAGCTTAAAAAATGCAAGGAGTGGCCAACCACCCTCATGCTGCTTGCTTTGCGATTTGTTTGTTTGGCGTTCTTATCAGCCAATGCCGCCATTTCATTAGCTGGGAAGTGGTGATAAGATGCTCAGAGCTTGCCACGCCCTGCATTCTGTAAGCCGTCAGCGACTCTATCTCGTTGCAGATTTTATGCCCGACGGGGCATAGAATCGTTTTCTTACACAGATCGTACACTTTGGTTTTGCTTCTACATCAGTGACAGATATCAATATAATCTAGACTAGGGGATATCTTGACTCTTCGATTTCAAGGAATCCCCATCTGTCTTAAATGGCAGCCAAGTGCTAAACCCTACCGGGGGGGGGGGGGGGGGGGCAGGAGGCAGGAGGCAGGGGGCAGAAATGCACTAGAAAGTGTCTGGCTCATAGTTATGTATCAGTGGGTGGCTCACGTCTAGAGCTTCAACTTGGACAACGCTTGACTTTGGGGGAAGGACTGTTGGGAAACTTTTGGAGCTCTGGCACCCACAAGGGTGCTCTGGAGAACCCCTGAGTTCCTCGATATCCGTTCAAGAAACCATGGTCCAGACATATTGTTTGATGGTGTTTGGGTCAGAAATGTTTAGGACAGCCTGTGCTTTGAGGCGGTATCAGTTGAAGCATGAGGCTCGTACGAGGCCCATACGAAGCTTGTACAATGTTTTGAGGTACATCGCGCAACACAGTTAGCGCGAGCAAGCGCTCTTTTTGCTATTTTCTCTTTGAATAAAAATCCTTTCATCAAAACCACTAGTGTGGTGGAGAGTGGTCATTTGGGCCACTAGCGTAAGCGGTACACTTTGGTGCCTGCCCGTACCCTTTCGAAGTCAAATGCGAAAAAGCGGCAACGTCGGGCTTGCCCTAACGGCGTCTCGCAGTGCATACGTCCGTGTTATGGGAATGGGAATTGGCCGTATCGTGAGTGTCATCCTAAGAGATTTTGATAAGACTCGCAAGAGCTACTGCACGAATAAACATAAAATCTGGACTTGCAATTCTTTGGTATACAGTAATTCGGTGTGTCTCTGACAGCTGCTTCTTTGTTTTGTGCTGTTCAGGGAATGCCCTGGTCTGCCGGCAAGTGACCAACATGTCCATCACGAGAGACCTCAAGTGGCACACGCAGAGTTGCACCATTGGCTTCAATGCATTCGGTGAGTTTGGCAGCCGCAAACATTCCGGCTTTTGCAACAATAATTGGTCTGCCTTTCTGGTGAGTTTTCTTTTTGTGTATGGCATGAGCTTTCTTTATAGTTCTTAGATACTCCTTTGCTTCATGATATACTAAATCTGGGATTGTCCTTGATCAAGCCGGTAATTAATTCTTTGTTTGCGAAGCACTCAAAACTTGCATTGTGAGGTTGTTATTTTAAAATTTGACCATTCTTTTTAAGGTCGAATCGAATGCATTGATATTCAAATTGGCAAACAGCAAGTTTTAACGTTTGTGCCTGCCTGAGTTTGTCTGTTTTACGGATACATTGAAAAGGCTGTTGTCTGTTGGGTTTTCAGGAATCTGGCCCGAGAATGCGGACGGGACAGACGTAAACACGTGTGCGCGCTCGCATTCCTCCAAGCTGCTTGTCACGGGAGACGACTTCGGCAAGGTCAAGCTCTTCTCCTATCCAGCTTCACAACCCAAGGTCAGTTTCCTTGCCCTTTTAGAATGGACGCCCCTTCCGCCTGTGACTACTGGAGCACAGAGTATGCTGGTTGTGGCTAGCTGGTAACGAAACACAATTGACAACTTACAACATAGCCTGCATGTCAGGTATCGTTGAGGCAGCGCTGTACACAAACATCCTGTTGAAACATTTAATGCACAGTTGGGGGTTGAACCTGCATCTCGCGCGAGATACAAGTTCAGACCACCAAGTGTGCAGGACTGAAATTTTTCCAGGCATACCTTTTACTCAAGGATCTTTAAAAGAGGAAAAATATAACCAGTTGTAGATTGTTTGAGCAATAATTTTGAAGACTTCACAGGCAGAAGTATCTCCTTACAAAATTTGATTATTCAGTTCAGTCTCCAGGTATTCTAAAAGCATCAAAATGGAAGTTTAGATCAGTTTGTGCCAGTTAATATGACTACAAAAATGTGCAGTGTCAGCCGATTGCAACAGAGTAGTCATGTGCAAGTAGTGGATTTTGAGTTCAAAGCGGAGTTGAAGCAAGTAGTGGTTTGGGCTGAATATTTTCTATTTGAGTATAGTTTCTCCGAGCTCAACTCGTGCAGGTTTTTCCAAACCTTCCACTTGTCCGCTTCTAAGCTCGGTTAATTTTAATGTAGCTTTATCTATGAACTATGGCATGTAAACAACAAAATTGTCACAGCTATTCTAATTGAAGGTACTTAAAAGTCTGCGTGTTATTCTTTCTTTCATTCTTTCTTCAATTTCGAATTTGACACAACAAAAAAAAAAGTAAAAAAAAAAGTAATACAAGCACAAATGATGAGCACGGGTTAGCCCCGTTGAGTGCGCTTCTCACCGAGCACATGGGCACTGCGGGAAAGCAAACGTGCGCGGAGCCCACGAGTTTTGCTTCCCAGCAGTGCACATGTGCTCGATGAGAAGCTCACTCAACGGGGATAGCGCTCTGCGATCAACACTTCAAAAAGTATGAATATTGTTGTTCATCTCGAGGCGTATATCGAACATCGTATTATTTTAAACTACTATTCGAACATTCAAATATTCGCACAACACTACAACAGCAAACAAAAAAAGGACAACAAGAATTGACTTGATTTCTAGGGCAGAGACTGCTTTGGTATTGATTCTCTCCAAGAAAGTGAGATTCATTTGTAACTCGTCTTTTCAGGGTCATTTATTAATCTAGGGTTTTTCAAACTCTTCTGTTTTGGGGAACACTGTCTCTTGATTCACAGCTGGAGTCCTCTCTCTATGCTGAGCATTAATGCAATAAAGCAGTGCAGAAGCCTAGAGGCTTCCTAAACTATAATATACATATACTAGGAAGTGTCTGGCACATGGTTAAGCAACACTGGATGGCTGAGATCTTCTAAAACGGTGCTTAAACTGGAAGAGCGCCTCACTTAGGGACAGGGATGGACGAGGAAATTTCCCACGAGGGCGGTCTGGGGAACCCTTGAATTCCTAGGAACCCGGCTTGGGAACTCATGCTTTAATCCAAATGTTCACGTTGCAGTGCCTGAGTCACGCGTATGGCGGCCACAGCAGTCACGTGACGGCGGTGGACTTCATGCCAGACGACACTCGTCTCATTTCCCTGGGCGGCCGGGACTGCAGCATCTTGCAGTGGGCCGTGCTGTGAACGCCGCGCCAGGGTGTCCCTACCACGACGAACCGTCACTTCCGAGCAATTCGTCGGGCGATCTGCTTGCCGTCGTCGTCCACGACCTCGCAGTTGTCCGCCCCCGAAGTTCCGGCTCTGTTTCCTAACGTATCGCGAGAGCCAAGGTGTGCCGAAACGTTCCGAGAAAGCGTAGCTAGGCTGCTATTGTCCGGTGATGACGCATAGGATGTTTTCAAGTACTAACTCGTGCTTTCAAGACGTGGAGCTCGGCAAATTGGAAACCTAGATCGTCTGCTGCGTACATCGCTAGCACCCAGCCTGTTCTCAGCATGCGAACTTGTTGCGCTGCAATGGTGTAGCTTGCATCGTCACTCGAAATACGATTAGCAATATCAGGGTATTGAAAAGGACAGAATCGCTTCCGTACTTGCATGCACGCTCGCACTTTGGTTTTCTCATATGATTACGACGCCGTTGCGCATGGATTCGGGGTACGACAGTGGCCTACGTCTTGCCACTGATTCGGAAGCTGCGTGCCATGTTGCGACGCCTCCGGAAGAATGTATTGAAGCTAGACTGAGTTGTAGTGTAGTAGAATCCTGGGGTGGATCAGTTGACCCTATGCACCGAGACACTAATGTGGCGGCGCAAAACCTGAAGGGCACTCCTGCATTTGCAACTTGTATTTGCAAATAAGGGGTGAAGGTGCGTTTGGCTACCCAGTTATCTCGGTGATCTACTGGCTTTGTCAAACCTGCGGAGTTTTGTGCACAAGCATGAATTATGCAGAATGGAAAGCTACAATCGCTGCTTAAATTAGCCCTATTGTATGATAGAGATGTTTCAGCCCTTCATGTTGCCTAAACCAGAAGTTTAAAGATATGTTCAGGAATTGGAGTGGGTGCCCCAACCAGTCCTCAAATATTTGGGAAGCAATCGCTCCTATCGGAATTCAGGCGCATTGTTTCCTCCGCAGATAACGTCCCGAAATCCCATTATGTTTCAGATTTATGTAACATCAGGGCCTAAAAGCAACGTCCAGTATGTATATGGGGTTAGAAAAGCTGCACAGAGTTTTCTGATTTACCCACTTTTCACTGCAGCTCAGTCTAGCAGCCTAATAATTGTACCTTTGATAAGAGGCCTAACTGGTGAGCTTGTCTGTTCTATGATTGTGCACAAATGTAGGACTTGTGAGTGAAACATGCCTTGAGATGGGAGTTGGTTTTGGTTGTTATACAGGGAAGTGATGCCAGATTGAGAAGAGGAATTGCTGTTACATGGCAGGCTGAAGTCCGCATTTTCTACCTTTAATTAAGAGGCAGCAGTGCAACCCTTTGTGACCGAGGTGGTGTGTGGCATCATCCTTTTCTGGAAGTGCTGTTTTGGCGTTGTCGTGCTAGTTCAGAAATACTTCGGATCCGGTGTCGTCCAGATTACACGGCCTTTAATAACTATGCTGCAAGGGCAAGAAGTCACTGAAAATGGCTAGGAGCCATGGCTCTCGAACTAAAAACGGGAACTGACTGCCAGAAACGTACTGGGGCACGAAAGGTGCTGTATGTGTATTGCCCAGTTCGGTCGAGTGCTGCTAATCGTTTTGTTTGCCGTAGTGAGCAAAGCTTGTTGGCTTTCGAGGTGACGTCCACGTTTGACCTGTTCTTCCTGTGAATGATAGTGTGAGCTTCTTGGGGTGAAAGTGATTGGGGACTTTGCCACCAGGTTAAGCAAGTCTGAACGTTGTCACTGGGATTGCATCGCTTTGTTTTGGAGTAGCTCTCGTAATGCATTTCTTACGTTGTAGTCTTCGTACGAGGGGTTGTAGTTTTATATCTTTGTGGCACGACTACAAGGTGCTGTTTTTGAGCATGTTTTCCTGGAACTGTTTCGGGTGCCTGCAACAAAGAGGACGTCTGGAAAAGAAGCAATACTCGATTGCAATTTAGCATCACCAAGCGCCTGATGTGTTGGAAGAGCTAGCAAAGTTCCAGCCCTTTTGATACCTTGTGTTTCCGTTGCAAGTGCGTGAAATGTTATGGTACCGGTAGAGTGCGCACAGAGGTAGATTTTGTTTATTTGCCAGTTTGGCAGCTTATTGGGGACAGCTTGCGTTTCTCGCGACCTTTTTTGCCAAACAAATGCAGTTTGTGTACTGCATTGCTACGCAACCAATTTTCAGATTACGCTCGTAGATTCTGACTTCAAATTTTGTTATCTTCGTTTAATTTTTTTGATTGAATGAGCTTCATGTATTGTCAGCAAACACAGTCATTTAGCATTCAGTCACAGCTGTGAGCGTCAAATTGACACATGCCTTTGCTAATTTTTTCTTGAGTCGTTTTGGCGCATTATTAAAGATTTTGTGAGGATGTTCAAGCCAATCAACTACGAAGTTGAGTGGCTAAGCCTTTAGTCTCACTGGTATTTTTTTTTTGCTAAATAAATATATTAAAATAGATGGATAGCACATGCACTGGCATAAATTGTACATTGAAGATGTCTCTATAGACGGAAGGAATGTTTCGTTTCTTGGTCAATACATCACTCGTTCGCATACAAGTGAAAAAGCAGCTTCGACCGCAGTCACCTTGTTTCTGATTTCAAAACTTTGGTTCCATTCTGAAGCCCACAAGAGTGCGTTCACGGCCGGCACATCATTGAATACTATTTCGTACATAGAGCAAAAACGTGTGGATTCATCGCTGCCATGGTTGCTGTTCATATGCAGTCAAGGATCAGGGCCAAGATCACATTTATCACTCATCACCTTGCAAATGCTCACTGAGCAAGTGACACAGACATTGAAGACATTTATCTTTATAGTGAAATATCTCTGCAAGCTGCACTTGCATAACTGCACATGGATGCCACTACGGGAGTGCACATTTGGTGTTTGTCAGTAACGACAGCTGGCAAATATGATGTATGACTGTCAAATAAAGTTTGATAAGTATGTCACTTTAGTGAACTTTGCTTCGGAGTGTGCACAATGTTTGTGGGAAATCTTGATTGGAGATGGATCTTTTTCTTTCAGCATTTCATATATTTAACTTCGTTGTCTGATAGGTGCAGAGTTTGGAGCCGCTCAACAACTCTTTTGCTCTGCCTATTGATTGAGTTCAGGGGACAAACCCTTTGTGCATGTGAAACAAACGCAAGGCAGATGTTAAATATGTAATGCAACACGACACAATGGTGCATTCTGGACATTTTAACACAGTGCTTGGCAATTCCATGTGCCACAAGATATACAGTCTGTTTTTTTCTTTGCAGCTTATAAGCTTTTAAAAGCGCATACTTTCATGCTCACTTTTTGAGTTACTGCGAAGCACGGAATCTATGTCTGAATTGTGTTCTGATGCACACTCTCAAACACTTGGCGAGTGAAGGTGCCGCCAGGGAATGTGACGTCCAATGCTGGGTAATCCTACTGTAAATCCATAACCGGTCAGTGTCTCAAGGGAAGTTTTAACATATCCTAGACTTGAAGTTCGGTGGTCTAGCCGCAACATTGCCAGCCCCGAACCTATCCTCTTCGGCAGATTGCTGGTTTTTGGCATCCCTTGCATGAATGAGCACAGCGTGTGGTCTGTGTAGTACCTAGCAAATATGTGGTTTCAGACTATGCCCATATGTTACCATTAGGTAGGCATTATTTATTTTGTATGTGCCTCAAGCGCCGAAGACGATTGCATCGTTTTGTAAATAACTCGACAATAAATTGCGCACCTCACAACTTTGGATTGGTTTGTTCTTTTTTACTCATTTTGCTGAGTTCAGTCTTGGCAATCGTGGTTTCATGATAAAGACATTCATTCAATTTCACTGTGCCGGTCCACACATTGATCGACTTTGTTTATTTAATTTATGAGTGAACCTTTTTCTTCTTATACCTTGAAAATGAACAACTTGTTGCTGAACGCTCGGCCATCGCCCAAATGTAGTGCTAGAGGTACTACATTTGGGCGATGCCAAAGTTTCAGAACTATTACCTCAGTCAAAAGTTATAAGTGATTTCCTGAATATTTCAAACAAACTACTTATTTCATCATATGATGGCACCACAAAATGATGGTTTCGAATGGGCTGACTGGGCCACGACCTCCTCTAGGAGGTCGTGGACTGGGCTGACCGCTATTGCCTCTAAAATTTTGGAAGTCTTTCCAGGTAGGGTTGGTTAGGAAAACAATTTTTTCATCCAAGGCAACAGCTTGCTGACAATAACTCAACAACCTAAATTCTCCGCACAAATGTTGCGCTAGAGGTCCAAACCAGAGGCCGAAGTTTCAGCACTTACCATTCAAAAGTTCCGTAATTTTCTTAAATATTGAATAGGAAAATGGGGTCCATTTTCGCGGCTGGGGCCGTCATTTCCCAACTGAAATTTTAGGAAAATCATAACTTTTGAAAAAGATAATGGTTACTTTGTACACAGTTCTCCTATCTGAGCATGGCAGACGGCCGCTAGTTAAAGTAATTTGACGCGTTCTGTCCGTTTTGCTGGTAAGGAATGCACAGCCCCACAGGAGACTAGGGAGAAGGAAGTGACGTCAACGACAGAGCAAACGCAGATTGGATGTTGACAGAAGAAAACGAAATCAACACCCAATCTGCGTTTGCTGTGTCGTTGACGTCACTTCCTTCTCCCTAGTCTCCTGGGAGTCCAAAAAGCGCAACATAGCACCCCTGATCACAACCTGGGGACTCTGTCTGAGGGCACTGGTAGGTGGCGCAAGTTACCCTCTAACTCAAACTAAATGCCCAACGTGCAAACGTTTATCTATATATTTGTTAACTGCTTACTTCTGCCATCTGTCGCCAAAATGCGTAACCAATATTTGTATTTTTCCTGCGCGTCGTGCTGGTTGTGCAGCCCAAAGCACGTGTGCTGCGTGTGCCCAACGTTCTTCAAAGTTCGTGTTCCTTCTCCGTTCGTGCGAAGCCGCGAAGAGTTGTCACGTTTTTTCGTGGCCGAGGTTTTCCGGTCATGAACTTTCTTTCGCACAAGGAGTGCGCGGAGGAGGGCGACACCGCGATCGTGTACCTGAGCTTCGCCAACATCTATGCGGTAAAGCTCTCGCGGGGTGAGGTGTTTCAGACCAAGTACGGAGCCCTCAAACACGACGACGTGATCGGGCGGACGTACGGATCCAGGATCAACTGTTCCCGCGGCTATGTCTTCGTGCTGGCCGGAACCCCCGAGCTGTGGACGCTCACGCTGCCCCACCGGACGCAGATTCTGTACACGCGGGACATCAGCTTCGTCACTTTGCAGCTGGATCTCAAGCCTGGTTCGGTGGTGTGCGAAGCCGGTGAGCTGTGTTTACGTCGACATGCCCACGACATGCCATTCGATATGGCGTCGCGCGCTGTCAGTCGCGCAAACGGCCAGGGTCGGGGGGTTATGTATCGTCATTTTGTTACGAGGTGTCTAGCTCCAGTGCGCTCACTATCTAACAACAAAATGACAGATTGATGTTTGAAAGCGTCGGACAGCCTCGGATTTCTAAGCAACAAAAGCGGGGTTGCAGGCGAGCTGATGTAGGACTGACATGTAACCCAGGAGCAAGGGGAAAAAGGGACGAATAGCACGAAACTCCGCACAAAGCTGCAGCGTTTGTAGAAAGGTCACTGTTATCCGCAGGACACTGACACTCGCTATTTTTCTATAGCAAATTTACATTACCAACAAAGGTTTTTTTTTCTTTTTAATATATTATGAAGGTAGTAATATTAATGTTGAGGGGCCGCGACATACAAAATGCTGATATCTGACCCAGCATAGATGCCCAAACCAAATATTGAATGGATATGTCCATGCAGGGGCAAATTTAGAGGGGGGGTCCGGATGTCCTGACCCCCCTCTTGATTTCTGCATGTGTAAAATTTAGGGCGTAAAACGAGGGAGAGGGGGTTCCTAAATATATGGTGTGCTGAACAACACCTGACCCCCCCTCAGGAAATTCCTGCATCCGCCCCTGTCCATGTGTTAAATGCTTTCCTTTGGAGTGTTCTTTGCCATCCTGTTCGCCTTAGTTCACTTCAGATATCTAGCATCTGCTGCTGCATCATACTACACTTCTTTCAGCTTAAATCCAAACGCAGCTGACACCACAAGCTAATGGGACCAATCAAGCAGCGTCAAAAGCGCAAGTCACTGGGCCTTTTCTGTTTATTATTGGTTCAGGGATGAAAAGAACAGGGACAGAATCTGGATGAACATTTGACGCTTTCTGATTGGTCCTATGAGCTCATAATGTCGGCTGCATCTGGACTTAGGCTGAAACGAAGTATAGCTTGCATAGTTACAATAACGAGCGAGACACTGACTATTCCTCACTAATACAACAAGCAGTGTCCATATCATTAGACTGTGACTGACAAAATGCCTTCTTTTGTTGACAAGAAGTGAAATTTAGCTTTCAGCAAACGTCGAATTTACCGGATGACCACTGTGAAGCTTCCTTGACTATAGTCCAGGAGTGCAATGTAATGTGGCACAGACTAAACCTTGATGTAGACAACTGAATTATGCAACACTAGCTTCTACGCTAGTTGCTTAAAGCCCGATGACCAAACCCGATATTCTACAAGGCTTTCCTCCTCACATCTTTGAGCGAGGGTAGCGAAGGATGGAAAGAGGAGACTAAAAAAGTCGGGCATGAGTCTGCGCGCGCCAGTCGGATGGTTCATTGTGCAAGCACATGAATGGAGATAAGCCAGCTAAACGGGTGCCCCCACAATGGACACCTCACAGTCTGTGCCATCCTGTTCTGCGCCGGAGGATTAGTGATGGAACCTTCCAGGTCTAAGGTCCAAGACCAGGAAACGAGAACCAAGTTTGTTTCTCATACTGTGCGGTACGTCTTCGCTGGGTGCTGCTTTGATCAGCACAATTTTTAATCAGCGTGAATTGACATCCTTTTTTTTTTTTATGTCTGCTGCCCCTGTCGGAAGCCTGGATCAGAATCCATTGGAAGGAAAATTTGAAGCCCACAAAGAAAAAAAGAAGTGTGGGGAAGCTTTATTCTTTTACTATTTGCAGGTTGAAATGTTTCATTATTTATTTGTCGTCCATACCGGATATGCCTACCAGGTGTCTGGGGTTAAGATTAAGTGAAAAAGGTCTATACCATAAGGCATGCAAGTTATACTTCGTTCACTCACAGACCACTGCATCTAGGAAGCAGGATCTAACTCCCCTTCTCGGGAGGTAGTGGCTTATTTCGCCGGTACAGGCAATCGCGTGTTTTCATACTCACAACTTTCGAACCAGCATCTGCATGGGGCTGCGCATGCGCAGGCAATATTTCCCAAAATCATGGATATCTTTCCAATAAAACGAAATGAAACACCAAAAAACAAAGAATGGTTTCCAACAATATTTAGCAAAGTTGCCCCCTCCTCCTCCTCTTCCCTTTCCCCTGCCCCCCCCCCCCCCAAAAAAAAAAAAAGAAACGAAAAACTTCAAGGGGAACATATAAAGAAATATCAGCACAGGGCTTGCTGACTAAAAACCTCCACTGACGTCCACAGCATTGTAACTCAAGGACTCAAGGAAGGCACCACATAGCCAATGGGGGGGGGGGGGGGGCCTCCCCTAAATCTTCCATTTTGCTGGGACTTCCTATCCCCCCTCCCCCTCCTACAGCATTTTGTCATAGGTGCCCCCCTTTGAAACAAAATCCTGGCTCCATGCCTGACTCAAGGCTGCTTGTCAGTCATGTTATGATTGCTCTTTTGTATCCTAATCTCTATCTTTTTTTGTCTAGTTGGAGTCACGCAAGTGTAGGGCCGTGGGGTAGGAAACGAGGGGGGGGGAGGAGGAAGCGAGAGAAGAGTGGAAAACATGAAATGGTCGTCGACCTTTAAAGCCAAAGTAGCGTTGGATCTTTTTACGAAATGCACTGTTTCTGGTTTTAAAATTGTTAAATGTTTTCCCCCTTTCAAGGAACTGGGAGTGGATCAATGACTCACGCCCTTGCAAGGACTGTGGCCCCAGATGGACACATCTACACCTTTGACTTCCACGAGCACAGGGCCGAGGTGGCACGAAAGGAATTCGAAGAGCACGGACTCAATCACGTAGTGACGGCCGCGCACAGAGACGTCTGCCAGGACGGCTTCGGCCTGGAAGACACTGCCGACGCTGTCTTCCTCGACCTGCCACATCCCTGGAAAGTCATCGACGCTGCCGCGAAAGCCCTAAAGTCTGAAACAGGTGAGGGAGCTTTCTGCTTTCTAGCTGACAGAGCTTGTTCTTGTGGAGTCGAGTGACACTAGGCAGTGGTTTCGGAAGCATTCAGGGAGTGGGGAAACGATGGGAGGGGTGATTTCCAAACTCTTTTGTCAGATTGTTTACTAGAAATGTTGAATGGGAGAAGGGGCGGGTGACCTCTTCTGCCCCTTCCCCCCCACAGCAATGCCGATGCCTCCGACACCAGAGCAAATATTCAGTAAGTTCTGCTTATGTATGTGACAAAAACTTGTGTCCGCAACCTTTATGCCACCTCCTTGTCACCAAACGGTATAAAACACATGGTTAAGCAAGCGCTATTGTTAACTCCATTTCAGCATTCTGCATAACTTGACGAAGCAATAATTCAACGGACGCCGTGTGAGCCATTCGGAATGACAGCGCGGCATGCGACATTGTATCGTGAGAGAGCACTCTCCTCGTGGAGAGCTGTTGCAAGCTTTGCTCCCGTCACCATAATTGCTTCACAAGCGTTGTAGTGCGTGGCCTTTGCCAAGTCATGTTGGAAATGGAGTATAAGTTTTCACCACACTGCTAGCAAGTAATTTCTTGCTCTTTCTTCCTTGACTTTTGAGTCCCCAGGAGGTTATCTGCTAACATTTATGACTTTGTGGAGGACGGGGGGAGGAAACGGCAACATGGCTGAAATGAGACATGATTGGGTTGATGAAGATGAGAGTAATTATGAACCAGTGGGGATGGTTCAAACATGCTGAGCTTATGTTTACAATTGAGTGCAACTAGCCAGTAGGATATGGTCACCAACAGTAGTGGAAGAGCCATATTTCAGTAATGGGGGGGGGGGGGGGGGGGGGGGGGTGTAGCAAGGAGGGGTATGTAGTGTGAAGGATTGCAATTTGTTTAAAATGGGGTTTGTCTCAAGACGTGCCAAAAAGTCACTACTAAGCCCCCTAAAAATATTTTTTTTCTGCTACTAAATCACCTGATCAGTGCCTAGACTTCTTCCCTCGATTTTCAAGCTACTAAAGGTCAAAATCTACTAAAGCTTTGAACTTTTGTGTCTGTGCTATGCATACTGTCACAGATAGTCATGAACCTAAAGCATGATGTGATTTTATGACACAAATGTTTTGCACCCTTCAACATGATCTTTTAGCATTGTGTCACAAGGAAAGCTATTTGCAGTTCTTATATAAATGCCTGAAATTGGTCAAGTACTACACCAGATTTTTAAAGCACTTTCAGCATAAAAGCAGTGTTTGGTAAAATACATCTAAAAAGTACTAGTAAGTACACCAGGCACATTGTACTTGGAAGCAGACTTGTACACGTTACTGATAATAGTAAGGAATTACATTTACAATTACTCAAGGCTAAATTATAATTTATTACAATTACAATTACCCTCTCATAAAAGTAACTAACCGTTACTCCAAAAAGTAATCCGTTACTTTCGTGGCGTTACTTTTGACATTATTGTCCTCAAGTAAGAAACAAAGGGAAGAGGGTTATTCAAGTTCTTATTGTTGCAACGTGTTCCATTTAATGACCTTGAGTATTTTGAGCAACTGCTGGCTCTCGAAAGTCTCGTCAGACATTTTGCACTATCTCTTACTCAATATGCCGACTGCTACGCTGAACACCATTTGAGCTGAGGCACTGGATGGGAGTGCCATATTGTTCCTCACGAATGCTTCATGCTCTGCACTGAGCTTTTTCAGCGAAGCAAGGGAAGTACTATTTACCTCGAATGTAGAGCAAAGCTTCGTCGTTGCAGCCGTTGCTTGCTATTCGAGAGATTTAGTAGATCCTTCTGATACCTCGGATACTTGCGATAACGGTACCCGATAACGATATGATGCATATGCAAAGACGGTGGCGAAGTATCGGATATCGTTATCGGAGTCATCGGACCGATCTACTAAAATTCTCCATTGTCTAAATCGCGAAGCTGTGGAAGTCATCAATAGCAAAACATAGTTGTAACAGTAAGGTGATAATTAAATAAGAAATAAGGTTTGGTTCGATATTCTTCTTCCTTTGGTTCTGAACAGTTCGAGCCTCACTTGAGACGTTGGTGAATAAGAAGAAGTTTCCAGTATACAAATATAAGTAATAAAAGAAAACGAAGGACACTCATAATAACAATTAATTAGAACGTCGGTTAAAACAAGGAAATGTAAATGTGCGTTTGCCATGTGTACCTTTCTTGGTGCCGTTCAAAAAAGCACGGAGCACGAACCGACTGCAGTTTACTCCGGTGTTCTCCAGGAGTCCAGATAGACGTCCGCTGATGCCACGGGCAGCAAAGGGTAGAGTACTAAGTAAGCGGCGCCTCACGAATTTCACTCTCTCCTCAAGCCCAGAATATCAAGTCTACGTCAGTCACCAATATGTTTTATTTGTAAAAATATCTGCTTGAGATAAGATGCGTCCTGCTGGGGCAAAGCAGGACGAAGAAGAAAGGAAGACTATTACCATTTTCTAAGTGCTCGCAAAAAGCTGACTCACAAAAAGGGTAGGGTAGACGGAGCGTTGTCTCGTGTTATGACATTATGAAAATGGTCGTAGTCACTATAACCGAGAAGGACATTGCTAATTCTTTTCAGTGCACTTAGCGCCTCGAGTTTTTGAAGAGGCGGACTTGGTGTCCTCCTCTCCCCGTCTTCGACCGCAAAGAAAAAAACAAAGGTACTAAAACGAACCGGAAATAACTTGCCCCCCCCCCCCCCCCCCCCCCCCTTGCAGAAATGTTCATTTGGATTTTTTTACATTGTTGTTAGGGTCTAAAAAAATAGTTCAGGGGCTTGGTGTTGCAAGAAAAGGCTTTGCGGAACTGAAGAGTGTCAAGCCTCACTTTGCGCTGGTCAATTTGCGTGACAGTGTCACTGCGCTCGACTTTACAAAAATGAAAAAAAAAAGGGGGGGGGGGCGTGTCCTGACAAAAAAGATGTAACGAATTACAAGGAATCCGTTACGTCAAAAATGTAAGGGAATCACTTTAAAATTACTCTAGAAAATATGTAATTATTCCGTTACTAAATTACTGATAAATGTAAGGGATTACAAGTAATTTCGTTACTTGTAACGGATTACGTACAAGTCTGCTTGGAAGTAAAGTACTACTAATGCAATGTACCTTCAAAGTAATGCACAAGTATGTTTTAACACAATCTTTCATGATTCCCTTTCATTCTCCTATACAGTGTTTTTTTTTTGTTTGTTTCTTTTGAAATTGGGTATGCATTGTTTTAGGAATAGGCATCAGTTATTTTTAGATATGGCAGCGAATATTGGATAAAATCTAGTGGCCACAGGGTAGTTGTTTTTCTCTCGTTGACTAACTATGTAACACAATCAACTTATGAGCAACTTATTTGTTGTCAAGGCATCTACATTTTTGGAATGTACTTTAACTAAAGTCGGGAGTTGTACTTTCTTGGAAGGTGCCAGAAAAAAATACTTTAAGTAAAACACATGTATATACTCAGAGAACATGTTCCTAGTAAAGTACAACTTTATAAAACCTACCTGAAGTAGTACTTTAATTACAGTGTACTTAAAGTACTCACTAACACTTTATAAAATGTCTAGAATGGAGTCCTGCTAAACCTGGTGAGGTTTATGCCAGGGACTCAAATCGTTACCATAACCGAAACCGAAAACCATTTCAAAACAAATTTTTTCAGTAACCATAACCTGAAAGAAACCATTATTTGACATTTATGAAAACCTTAACCGTTAATTAGTTACCGGTAACCAATATTAACCAGAAAATAAAAAGATTAGTTTTTCTCAAGAATGACCTCGAGGAGGCATCTTGGAGTGTCGTGGCAATTTGACAGAGTTACCGTCAGCGAATGGTGCATCTGGTAAATTTAAATTTTGGGTTAAGAATATTTGATTAGAATCAATGGCCGAGCTTAAAATAGAAAGTCTCTATTTCTAAATCTGACACACTCCTACAATCGCGACATGTGTTCAGTATGTGTCGCCTTCAAGGTGTTAACTAATAAGTTAGAATTCTGAGATATCTGTCCAACCCGATTCTTTCAAAACCATGGATGTTCCTGACCTGCAACTGGGGATGTCGTGAACCGGTTGAGGTGCGAGTTCTACCAGGTTCAACGTTTTTGAACCTTTATAGAAAAGTTTGAGAAAGTTTGATTAGGGTCTGAATGTTATGCGCATGCGCCACGGGCTGGCTCAGTTGGCTTTGGATTGGATGGTGATGACCGAACGATCAAGTCAAACGTTCTACGTTACTAGAACAACTCAGTTGGGGAACTGCCATAGAGCCTGCTTTGAAAAAGTGGCTGCGTTCTGTACTCGAGAATCGGGCTAAAGACAATCGCAACGCCGCCATTTCTCCCGCAGCGGCCACTCCGGGATCTGCACGGCTGCTCGTATTGGTTTAGATTGAGCCGCGCAAGGGCCAGTGGCGCCATCTCGCATTACCATTTCGTAGCTATGTAAATGAGCTTTTATGTTTTGACTCGTCGCTAAAAGGCGGCGCTGTTACCGCATTTAGTTCGGTTTAAATGGACGCCAGCGGCCAGGGTTTCAAGGGTAAGTTTCCCAACTTAGTGTTTTAGTAACGTTGGCTTTTAGTAAGGGCGCACTGTTTGGTTGTTTATAATATAATCAAGAATAAGTTATGTTATTAACTTTTACGTTATTAAAATTATGTTCCGTTGATTGTGACTATTTATAAAACAAAGGAACCTATTCCGTAAAAACATTTTCTCCAAACCTAGACACGCTTGTTTCAAAGTCTAGCCACACTGTCCACAAAGTCGAACCTTGTAGAACCTTTCGGTTCGACGTAAAAATCCAGTCCGACCGAAGTTTGTGACATCCCCAGTTGCAACATATCTGTAGGAGAAGCTCCCCCTCCAAACCTAGGAGAAAAATGGCGCTACTATATAAATGAACAATTTTTCTAGCGTCACAGAATCGTATAGCGAGAAACGTGCGCTTCTATAACCACATGCACTTGCTTG